TCACACAGTTGGAGCATTGCAACAATATTTATATATATATATGTATATATATATATATATATATATATAATTTAATTATTGTGTAAGCATACTGTAGGAACATATTGTAGTGTTAGCTCCTTGTGATAGGCATATTTTATATTGTATACGTACCATTTACATTATAAGTGCTATTTGAGTGTTCCTCGAGAGCCGAAGGAAGATACAGTCTGTCTAATCACAAAAATGTGTACACGATTTTCATGATTATCTTCTAAGTATAAACCATCTCAGCTCAGATCAATCGGAACACATGTTGCCAGCTGCCAAATTATTCAAGTCAGATTCATGATGATATCCGCGATATCCGATGAGCCCCTCAAACAACATACCCATATTAAATTCCAGCCTGTAAGAATCGATCGTGAACAGCTCCTGAATTTATTTATGATTTTTTTTTTAATTTCAATCCCAAAAAGCTTTTACTCAATACTTAGTGCAATCTCGGTTTCGAAATGCAAAATTTATTATGTATAAACAACAACAACAACAACAGAAAAGATGTAAAAACAAATAAAAGGAAAACGCAGCTGAACTAACAATATCAATATATTAACAATTGTCAATGGAAATTGTGCTGTGAAATAATGTGTGAGCAAAGAAAACAAAAACAAAAACAAAAAAAATAATAACGAAACGAATGTTGAACAAATTGCAATAATAGAATATAACAAAGCTAAATGAATTTCTATTGCAATCTCTATTTTATGTATGTTGTGCAAAAGTATACAAGGAACTCATATCAGAGCCAAATGGCAAGAGTTGGCTCGACTCTCACACAGAAGGAGTATTTATAAAAAAAAAAAGAACGAATTCCTTACTTTCCTGTTTTAGCATAACAATAAAGCCACATTTGAATACAAAGTGTCGTACTTTAAGCGATAATGCCTTAAATATATCAATTAAATATACACAAATGGAAATGCGTATGCATTTTAGTTAGCAAGTAACTACTTAAGCCCTAGTAAGTGTGTCTGTTGATTAAGTAAATATAGTTAGTATCTGTTGGATACGTATTACACAGTTGCATCTGTTTACCGAAGGATTGTCTAGCTTACGCAATTATTCCACGTGTGATTTCAAATGTTCGATGTAGCGCAATTTGCCGTATTCAATTATTTTCAAATAGATGTATTTACAAAAACCGTTCCGGTGCGCATGCTATAACTTGTATTTAGATAACAACTAAGCATATATCTTAAGTTTACAGCAACAAGTCACATACTAACATGCAACAATAATAACAACAACAACAACAACAAATCGAGCACTCCCTGGCAAAGAACACGTGCTCCACTCCAATAGATATGCAATTATACACTGATATTATATGTACAATATAAATGGATTTTAAACACACACACATACACAGTTTAGCTGCGTGACTATTAGGTGCGACTAAATGAAACATGAAAGATAACTAGGATTTTAAGAAATGCATATTTTTATTTAGAGAAAATATTGTATAACTAAACAATATGAAATGAAAACATGAGACTCTACAACAGATATAAATAATAAATGTACTAGACAAATGCAATTTGTTAGTTTTTTATAAATTTTTCATATAATATTTAATTTCAGCTACAATAATCAATATTCCGACTGGAACCAACAAATATTTGTTTTCTTGGTCCGGCTCGATTTAACTCTAAATTATAATTAAAAACAAAAGACCTTTAAACGTAATTTTTAAAAATTAATTTTTCTCTGCTCATGTTGAGTTTCCAAGACAAGTCTTAAGTTAATCAATAATCGTGGAATAAGGGTTTTCCAATATAAAGTTAAGTGAGGGATTTCCAAGCAAACGGGTGAATACAACTCGAAAAGCCATAAGTATTTTGGTCCACTCTAATTCAGTTAGTATCAAAACCTAACTATAAGCTTCTTACTAAGAGAGCTTTCAAGTTGGTTGATGAAGAAATTAAGGTATAACTGTTATAAGTGCCGCCCAGGGCTGCACAGCTAGGTTCTCGACTTATAAGGTTCCACTAATTTCTTTAAAATATACTCTATGTAATGCTCAAACTATTATGATTATTATTGTCGACATTTTTGAGTTTGGCACAAAGCGTAAAAGTTTGTCTTTTTGCGATATGGCAACAACTCGCTATAAATTGATAGCTTATCTGATAATTGATAACCGAGGCCCTTCTGAGTAATGGAAACAGTCACAAAATTGTTTGCACCATGGAGCGACCATCCTCTTCCGCAATGCAAATGATTTATGCAGAGCTTGCTGCCGGTGCGTATACGTAATATCGAGCTGAAGCTACATTTGATATATATATTCCATAATGTGCTCGTAGTCAAAGCACAGAATGCGCGCCTGGAGGAAGAGAATGTACTGCTGCGCCATAGACTGAACCGGGCAACAACAGATCATCACACAAGTGCCACGGTAAACGTGGAATCGAAGATCAAGGCCTTCCAGTTGGAGGAGGAACGGGATCGCATTCTGGAGACGCTGCAGATGCACAAGAAGAAATACAATAAGCTGCACGATGCATATCTGGAGAAGGTCAAGCGTTGCAAGGCGCTGGAGGAGATGTTCAAGCGGCAAAAGACGCTAACGGGACTGGTTATGAAATCCGCCATTGCCCAACGGAATACGGGTGAGACTACGATATGCAGACACGCAGCTGGAAGCAGCTATAAAGACATATATATTCTGAGCAGAGCAACAGCTGATGCAGGAGAAGCGCCAGTCACAGCAAAGCAAAAACAGCGAAGCGGAAGTCGAGCAGCTGCAGGCGAAGCTGGCCAAGATGCAAGCGGCGCTGGATGAGTCCTATGACATTATTGATGAAATGGACTTTGAGCTGGAAAGCGTAACTAGCCCAAGCCGTGCCCAACTATACAGATCCTAACTCTACAATTATGCCAGGTTGACTTGCTCGAGATGCAGAATCGAAGTTTGCACGAAGAGCTGGCCGCGCTGAAGGCGCAACTGGCGACGCCGGCAGCGACGCCGACAGCGCAGCCATTAGCTGCCTGCCCCACCGATGATGACGATGATCCACCGCCCAAATACGAAGCTGACGACACTTTTCCCGAACAGGCGCGACGCAATCATCGCCAGCACGTGACCTCGTCCACTTGTGCCAGCTGCCTCAAGATCGACGATGCCGATGCCGATTCGCTGGAACGCGCTGCGATGACACACAGCGTAGGTCAAAGCAAATATTAATCGATTGCACAAACGATAACATTATCGATTCCGATTTCGATTTCGATTGCAGCTTATGCAAAATGTTGAGGCGGAGAGCAATAACCTGAGACGCGAACTGCTGCGCTCGCGCTGCCAACGCACAATACGCTGCAAGCTGGAGAAAGAGAGGGAAGATGAAGATTGAAAGTAATTATTTGGATTATTTATACAATTTATTTTTTCAATTTATGAAGAATTTCATTGTTAAGTTTGGAGTTTGCATGCTAAAAAAAAGATATGTCTGGAAAATATTATTATTTGTTTTTTAGACATTTTCAGTATATCTTCATTTATATGACTCTATATCTTTCTGATTATAACGAATTTAACTTATACTCAAAAAACAAATATATATATTTTTTGAAAACTTACTTTTTTAAAGTCCTAAATAATCTAACTAATTCGCACAGCTCGGCTTTATTGAAATATGACTCGATGTTTTGTGTGACAAGCCATAATCCGATTAACTGATCGGATTAATCAGGTAATTAGTGTCTAGAAGATTCTGATTAATCTTAATCCAGTTGAAAGACAACCCTCAAACGCAATCGAAGCGCTTTCATAATCATCAACGGCACAATCCAGTCTTCTGGCCAGAGTCTACGACAAGTGCAAATGCGAATGCGTCTGGTATGCAGAATGTGATATTAGTCTGCACTTAGTGGCAAGTGGTTAGTGGGTATGTTTAACCCAGTTTTAAGCAAGTTACGCCTGCCTCACAAGTGCACCAGCCGCAATTTGCATTTGAGGCTAGAAAAATGATCGAGACTTTAGAGCATGGCAAGCGTGATAGCGCAACCTGAATTTTAGGCCAACCGAAAAAGGCAAAAACGTCGTCTAATGGCGATTAATTAAAATATTTGTTAATGACATCAAACTCGTTATGGCCAGCTCAATTAGCCAACTCTCGGCAGGATCTAAATGCCCGGCACGCGGCACATAGTAAATGCTCAATAATTTGTATGTTCCTCTAGATCGCGCCCAAATTTAATGCAGACATTGCGTAAATTAACATGCACAAATTTGGACGCTGATTTATGGTTCAATATTCTCAGAGCTCTTTTTGTATAAACAAAATTTTGTTTGTTTTGGAAATATTGCAATGGACATAAAGTTCAAGATAAATTAATAAAAATGGAAAAATATTTAGAGAAAAATATCTAAGAAAAACTCTGATGTTGCACAAAGATTTAATGCTCAAATATTTAAAGAATTTTTGATATGCCAATAATTGACCAATTTCGATTAGATTATGCTAAGGAACAAAGGGCTTCTACGAAGTCTGAGATCGATGCGATAGAGATACGATAAGGATGCAGAATTAATATTTTAGACAGTTGAAATCCTGCTCCTTAAAGATAAACACATGTGTTGTTATTAATCAAGTTAAATATGTAAGCCTTCTTTCACAAATTCTGGCTAAAAGTTTTGCCCCCCCTCTCCCTCCCCCCCTTCGATTCCAAGCAATGCGCAAATTAAGTTTTTGGCCAAGTGAGCACTTTGCGTTTTTCATGTTTTATTATATATGTATATATTTTGTTCATGGCTCAGCTAATGAGCGCGCTCCACATTAGATTTACTTGTTTCTCGATTTAGGAGCTATTCGAGGCACTTTATCAAATTGCAACAACATCCACAGAGACTGAGACTGAGACTGAGACGAAGACGGAGACTGGGACTGGGACTGAGTGCGAGATTGAGCCATTGGAGCTGTCAAGCGTGTAGTATAAAAACGCTGAGGACTACCCAGATGAATTACAACGATCTCGATCAGCGACGTGTGCGTACACAGTTCTTGAGCCAAATATTCGTAAATGATGGGAAAAGTAAGTTGAGCTGCAATCATATGCAACCAGTTCCTAATTGCTGTACTTTAGCTCAGCTATTTGGTGTGCCTGAGCCTGGCGCTAATCAGCGCTGTCTGTGCAATTGAGCTGCAGCCGGAGCCGGACTATGGACCCGCGGCATACGAGTTCCACTGGTCCGTTCATGATCCGCACACGGGCGACATCAAGAGCCAGAAGGAGACACGTAAGGACGACAAGGTCGTTGGCCAGTACACGCTGATCGATGCGGATGGCTATCTGCGCACCGTGGACTACTCCTCGGATGATCACAGCGGCTTCAATGCCATTGTCCGCCGTGAGCCCACCGACATCAAGATACCGCAGCCTGCGCTCGAGCCCAAGAAGCTGATTGCCACCAAGATACTGGCACCTCTGTCGCCTCTGGTCCACTATGCACCCAAGGCTCTGCTGAAGGGCCCGGAACCATCGGAGGGCAACTATGTGTCTGTCTCGGGACCCACGGCCCAGTACAAATACTAGAAACATCTCATAGCCAACAGATCATATTTCGACTACATCTCCAATTCATGAACTGCACGAGCCTTCCAGGAACACGTGATACCCATGCGTCTGGCATTCATTCTATACCATACCTAAGTATTTAAGTTATATACATACATTATTCTCTACACATTTTATAGATGCATCGTACATACATACCATACATAAATATATGCCATATTGAATCTGTTCTCTAGAAGAGCACAAAAGATTTGCACCCTTTTAACATCTGGCCACCAAAGTCATCTGTGTAATATGGTTACAGTTCCTAACTCTCAAGATTGTGGCATGCTCTCCATAGACAACCATACTAGGATAACTAGCATAGATACTCTTTACAGTTCATTCGGAGCTCCAATGCGAGATATATTACTCACAGCAGCTGCGTCTGGGCATGTGATGCGTCATCATGTTAGATGCCGCCAGATACCAGATACAGAATACAGAATACAGATGCTCCGATAAACTAACGCTATCTGCAGACGAGACGAGACCTGGCCACGAGACATAGAAGTTGATAATCTCACGTAGCCGTCGTCTGCATCTGTCTATCGGCTGGCGCACGTGCAAGCTGAGAGAGTCGAACTTCTATTGCGCCCCAGACGAAATTGTGCCGCCAAGTTGGAGCGATCAGTAGCAAAATGTGCGACGCAGTGCCTAGACGACAAACTGTTCCAGCCAACTGGCTGCTGCTGATGGCGCTGCTGGGAGCTGCTGTGGCCGGTGCCGAGGAGCCTGATGTAGCATGGATGGCGCCATTGCGGCAGCAATATGGCTGGGATACAAATCAATTGAAGAACAAAGTGCAGCAAGGTGATGTGACCACATACGAGCTGGGCACGCCCAATTATCAGATCCTCAATCCGGAAGATGAGCCAGAGTTCATAACCGAGGATCAGCCGCACTATCGTGAGCTGCTACGGCGTTTGACCAGCTCCGCCAATGCCACCGATACCATAGACGTGGCCATGCCCAATGCCAATGCCAGTGGGCGTGGCAGTGCCACAGCCATCGACAAGTCCAAGCCGACGGCAACTGGCGAATGGGAAAAGCTGAAAAAGCGCAGCTTTAACCAGGAGCCACAAGTGAGTGAGCGCCAGGACGAGGTGGAAGCCATGCCGCTCGATGAGAGAAGCCGCCATCCCAGGGCACAAGTCTATGCCGGCGCCAAGCCATTTCAGACACGCATCGCCAACATGAGTTAGATCTAAATACGATTACATTTAATTTGTTTTAAGACAATCCGTTAAAAAGTATACGAAACTGACTGGAGTTCATTTTTAATCCTAGCTAATCAAATTAAGGTATATCATACGCTGGCTAATTAATTGCAAAAAAACTATTAATTGCCTTCAAAGAACCCATATTATAATACGATAAAACTTGAAATGTCTGCGCTCTAGCTGAACCCAAGATTTTCCGACCACTCGATGGACTTATAAATTCTGTCTGGGTCTGGGTCTGGGTCTGGGCTTGGGTCTGGCCCTGAGTCTGAGTCTGAGTCTGTGTCTGGAGCTGCGTGGGCCATTCATGTGCTCGTTGTCATCTTTAATATTTAAGTACATTTTCTTATCAATCTGATGATTAACTTATCAATTGGGAAACATTTTGGTGTGTCTGAACACGTACCATGTCGATGTCGATGTCGATGTTGATGTACAAGAGACTTGCTCAGCTTTTCCTCTGAATCAGTCAACTAATTGACTCCAATACAATTTATGGGCATAATTCTTATTCTTACAGGTCTCGGCTGAGTTAAAATTAGGCATATAAATATAATTTGTCATATGTATACAAACTTTTTAAAGAGACTCCTTGTTAACCATGGAGGAGGATTTGTCGATATACATACAACGAATAGAACCTGTAAACGAACGGCATGAGTGGAAGTTAACCAAGGTGAAGGTAAAATGTGTAGTTAATCAAATGTGTAGTTAATCATCTAACTATCACTGTGATAAAACTGAAAGATTGGCCATGATATGAGGAAATTGGGCAGAGGAAGGGATGTTTGCTTCGAGCCAATTTGACGATCTAATCGAAAAAATGGATATGGAAAAAATGGAGAAATATCTTTAAACTTTTTTTAAATGACTTTAATGAATGTAATTAAAAGATAGTAGTGCCTTTGTTTAATACTTTATGTTTAGTTAGAATAGTAGACGGCATGTTTTTCAACAATTCCTAAAAAATGTTATGAGTTATCTGCCTAAAAGCAGAAATTATAAAAGAATGTATCCTAATAATATTCGAAATGGAATTTAAACTACTTTAATATAATTTAAATTATTGAAAATATCTGTTTGCAGTAGCCGAATAGCAACAAGGCCTTCCCAAACAACGTGAGAGCAATATTTATAGTCAAGTCTAAAACGGGGATATTTACTTAAAAAAGTTCGTTCACATATGACATGCATAATTAATATGCCTAATTTCAACTCAGGTAAGACCTGTCGGAATCAGAATTATGTCCATAAATTGTATTGGAGTAAATTAGTTGACTGATTCATCGGAAATTTGGTTCTCTAGAGGAAAAGCTGAGCAAGTCTCTTGTACATCGACATCGACATCGACATCGACATGGTACGTGTTCAGACACACCAAAATGTTTCCCAATTGATAAGTTAATCATCAGATTGATAAGAAAACTAACTGAAATATTAAAGATGACGACGAGCACATGAATGGCCCACGCAGCTCCAGACACAGACTCAGACTCAGGGCCAGACCCAGACCTAGACAGAATTTATAAATCCATCGAGCAGTCGACGCTGAAAGTGCAGACACAAAAAAATGGTCAATGCGTGCGGAGCTAGAATTGACAAATGAAAATGGAACTGGCAACTGGCAACTGGGAGTTGGAACTGTTGGAGCCAGCTTATGGCTATGGCTATCAGCTCAGCCGGCGAGTGCTCCGAGAAATGCATGAAATTCTTTTACGGAAGCGCTTGTGATTGTGACTTTGATTGTGACTGTGATTGTGGCTGTGGCTGTGTTGATTGAAGCATAGCTAATATGTATATGCTCTTGGTATCAGAGCAAATGGGAAGCGTTGGCGTCGCCAGCAACAACGCCAACAACATCCCCTTGCCCCTTGCCCCCGTCCATCGAGCGCAGCGTTTGGCACGTGCCGGGCGCAACGCTTCCGCGACCCATTTGCATAGCGCTTGTAATGCTGGCAAATAGCTCGCGGCCAGCGAAAACGTATTTAAGAGCTATTCAGCAAATTGACTTAAAGAAGTTGCACGCGACCAACCAGTGGAAAACGAGCGCAATCCGAGCCATCGACAACTAAATCCATAAATACTGCTGAAAGGTAAAATAAAACAACAACAACAATACGAATTGATTTGGGAATTGGGAATTGTGTGTCGTTGACCGTTGCATAATATCGACCCATTTGTGTATTACTTTTAGATGATTGTGCGACTCAATTCGATATTTGCGCTGCTGGCGCTGATCGCCGCCTTTGCGCTGACCCACGCCCACTTTCCCGAGTATTGCGCCGAGTGCGAGCAGGAGATCTGGGAGCAGGTGCCGTGCAGTGAGCTAAGCACCACGACCATTTTGCCGCCCACAACAACTGCCAACTCCACACCACGGCCGATTAGCAGCACCACGCCGGCGCCAACGACAGCGAGACCCACTGTGCCCTCCACATTGCCCTGGACCACAACCCGGCCGCCCATCTTTAGCACGCCACCGACGCCGTCCACGTACAAGAAGTGCTACTGTGAGTGCAAGCTGGGCTGCAAGGAGTTCTGCCGCAAGGTGTCCGTGGCCAGTCCCAAGCAGCAAATCACACAGATCTCATCCACGGGCGACTATGCGCCCGGTGGCCAAATCGAGTATACGCATTCGCACCAGCGCAAATACTATCCCAAGTATGCGGCGGCCAGCAACAGCTACAAGCCCTATCCCGTGGTGTACAGTGAAGCGGCGGCAGCGGAGGCGGCATCTGCGCCAGCGGCGAACAACATCAATGCGCCCAACTACACGCTGGAGGAGCTGGCGCATCTGCTGAGCACGGCCTACGGCACCAAGAAGGGCTATCCGGCCAGCCCGCCACCGCCGCCACCGCAGCTACAGCCACAGCCATCGGCTTACTACTCGCCGCAGCCTTTGGTGGCCCGTCTCCAGCCCGAGTACAGGCAGGTGATCAACAAGGCGGCCGCGCAGGTGCCCAGGGAGCGGGTGATAATCCGAACAGCGGCCGCAGCTGTCTCATCTTCGGGACGTGCCGTGGCCAAGGCCAAGACGCCATATGGCGAGGTGGTGGCCACATCGGCGCCCATCTATGAGAGCACCACATCGTATCCGATGCCGCCACCCGAGACGCCCAAATCGTATCCAGCGCCCGAGCCTGAGCCCGAGCCCGAGCCCGAGCCTGTGCCCGTGCCACTGCCCATGCCCCAAACCGAGGCATATCCCACGCAGACGGAGGCGTATCCGGACAAGTCGTACGAGACACCCGAGTCGAATTCAATTAAGCCAGAGTCCGCGTCGTCCTTCGACCTGGCCATCGATAACTATCTCAAGGATTTCGGCTATGACAACCAAGTCAGAGACTTGGGCTACTAATCCTCCGAAAAAGTTCTCACTTGTTATTAATTGTTGTTAGGTTTAGAGCTATGCCTAGATATATGTATGCGCACGTATACATATGTATTTAGTCGGATAACGCATTTTCCATATATTTATTTATTTATTTGCCTTTGGTTTCCATTGTGAACACATGCGTGACTTGTTGAAAATAATATAATACCTCCAAATATAACATCAAATTTTTGAAACCCAATTTTCTGATTTTGTCCAACTCAAGTTTAAGGAATCTCCTCCAAGTCGAGCAGATGCTTCTATGTGAGTTTTCTAATTTATTCATATTAATTAAAAGTATGTAGACAATAATTATCGATTTTAGGCTTTGTGAACTTTGTTTTTTATAGGGTATTTAGACTTCTCGGACTTAGAAAAATGTGACTCCTGCATAAAATGTGAATGACAAAGTGATAGAAAATCATAAGAAACCTTTTTATTTAAATCTTTTTAAACAAATCAAAATATATTCAAAATTTATCATTGAGTAAATATGCAGAGAAAATAGCATATTGATATAAGTATTCTACGATAAAAACAAGTAAGAGGTTCTAGTCGGGAGCTCCCGACTAGGGGATACCCTGAACCCTCTTCTTTCAACATCAAATGAATATATAGATTTTATTTTAGAAGCTAGCTCTTATTATTTACCAAAATTGCCCAAAAAACAGGATATCGATATCGATTTTTATCGATTGCTTGGAATCGGAGTAAGTTATCGATTATCGGAAACAAACTCGATCTGCGCGGGAACTAGGAGCACCAACATCTAAAATATCAAGTCTCTAGCTCTTATAAGTTCTGAGTCGACTCGGCGACTTATGCTGATCAAGAATATATATACTTTATGGGGTCGGAGATGCTTCCTTCTGCCTGTTACATACATTTGGCTTTCGCACAAATACAATATACCCTTATACCCATTTTTAATGGGTCTAGGGTATAAAAAAAGAAATATTTATCGTTAAGCCAAAAAGAAATATTTATGTTATTTCTACGCCAAATTTTTAGAATTCTTTTAATTTAATTATTTATTTTAAATGCTTTGCTTTGATTTCAGGCAACATTAGGCTACTTTTTAATCACAAAGCAACTCATGCGACCTTCAGGCACTTGCCACAAAGAGTTAGTTGCTTGTACTTGCGATTTATTTGGCATATGCCAAAACAGACACTAAGTACTGGCCCCAAAATGTGTGTGTGTGTGCGCGTGTGTGTGCGTGTGTGTGTGTGCTGGTATCGCACAATCTACAAAGTGTGTACATGTCGCTAAGTAGACACAACTTATTATTTATGGAGTATACTTAAATGCATACGAGTGTCTCTCGCCGATTGGGTTGGGCGACAACGACAGCCAGCGACAGCGGGCGTGCCGCGTCTGGAACTCGAACTCGAACTGGAGCTCGAACTGGAGCTGTGCGTGAGCCGAGTCGAGTCGAGCGGTGCAGCTCTTGGATCTGGAGCGAGCCACTCGCCATGCAATCGTAATCTTGTTCTAAATGAATGTGGCGCAAGATACGCGCCGGGGCCGCTTATTACTTCATATCGAATTTACCTACGTGTCTCGATTGGCTTTTCACTTGGCGGTCTGCGGTCTGTCGCATTGATTTGTGTGCGTGAAAGGCTGCGGCATGTGGGCAGCGCCCCGCGCCGCCACCTCCATCTCCACCTCCTCCTCCGACCGACCGACCGACTGGCTTATAGGGTTATCCACCGATATGGCTACGGCCTGGTTGTCTTGTGTGGCACACGAACGGATGTTGCAACTTGATTAATTAATTAAGTGGAAAAACTGCAAGCTCGCCGAAGGCTGTCTGAATGTCAATGTGCAATTTGTTGCAGTTATCGACGAAATAATTTAGTTCACCTTTTTTGGTACTTCACTTCAAATGTTGACAAATTCAACCAACCTATCAATTAAGCCTAATTATCATATTTTCATTTCTTGTACTCTAGCTGTTGCAAGATTCTTTTTGACTGAAATCGAAAAGAGTTGCACTTCGTAAACGAAACGAATTTTGTAAAATTTTCAATTTATTGTCAATGAAAGAAAGGGATTTCTATGATTTCAAAAAGTCATAACTTTTAAAAAACTGACGTTATTTACCCGAGATATTCCCAAAAATAAAACCTCAAAAAAGTTTTGGGTTTCGAAGCGTAGCTGATTTTGAACAAAAACGTGATGTAACCCCTTGCCATTTTGACGATTTGGATCAAAATTTTGATTTTGATCCTTTTAATGCCAGCCTTTTAATCCTGATCCTGACGATTCCAAAATGGTATAAAATTCCTAAGTCGGACATTATTTGGCCGAGATAATGCCTTAAGAAATGCTCAAGTTTTTTTTATCAAAATATATGAATCTTTTATTTGAAATGCGTATATTTTAAAACAAGCATAGGAAAATAAATATTAAATAAATATTTAAATTATTTTTCAACTTCGATAAAAACTAAAAACAAATAGTTTAAATGTACTGCTAGACTGTATAGACCTCTATTTGTCTATGGATAATATTGTCTGTTATTATATTTTCTGGTATCGTAAGCCTGACAACTATTTATATTTATCGCAAAGTCCAGTGCTAAGGTTTGTAATTTTGTTTTCTATCATTTAACTTTCACTCGACTTTGAAATACCCGCATTATTTGTATGGATAGCTGGCGGCATTGTTGGGCATTCGATCCGCAGATCAGCTTGACTCGAGGAGAGCAGCAAAAGTCGATATGGTACTGCAAACTGGCTGGCAAATTTTATTTGAATTTGTATTTTAGATTTTGATTTTTACTTGGGTGTTAAGACAAAATATTGGCAAAACAAAAAGTAACTGTTTTACATTTGACGGCATTCCGGTTCAGGTTTGGTCTAATCCACACGCACCGTGCTTGGAGGCGGGGCTCGAAAATTGGGTATAAAAGTTGCGTTCGCGACATTTGGCGACATAGTTCAGCGCAGGAGCCTCAAGTGAAGTGATCCAACAGCTAGCCCAATATCATAGTTAAATAACTCAAAACTCGACGCAATATGTTCTCAGTGAGTTTTTGCAACAGTCTAGCTGCACTTTACCACAATTTCGATGTCAATATGTGATTTCATATCCAATTCCAGCTAATGTCTGTGTTCGTGCTGGGCGTGGCTGCTGCCGCTGCCATTGAGCTGAGTCCCATTTACCATTCGCCGGCGACGCACATTGTGAAGCCGCTGCTGAAGAGCGTCGAGTTGGAGGCGCCGGCCCACTATGATTTCAGCTACTCCGTGCACGATGAGCACACCGGCGACATCAAGAGCCAGACGGAGTCGCGCAAGGGCGATCAGGTCCAGGGACAGTACACACTGATCGATGCCGATGGTTATCACCGGATCGTGGATTACACATCGGATGCCCATAACGGTTTCAATGCCGTCGTCCGCCGTGAGCCGCTGGGCCAAAAGATCGTTAAGGCTGCACCGCTTGCCAAGATTGTGTCTCCGTTGCCGCTGGCCTATGCGCAACCCAAGCTCCTGGCTGCCCCTAAGCTGTCTTTGGGCCTGTACCACTAGGATCAGGTATTACTGAACTGAAACCGAGAGAGCGGGAGCGAGAGCGAGAGAGAGAATCCAAACACTGATTTCATTGCATTGACGACCCACATCTCAAACTGAACACTCAACTCAAAGCAACTTTAACTGTAACATTTTCTAGCCAGATCTTCAGACACTTTCCTGTCCTCACCTCTACTTTCACACATCTACGCGCATCAGTCCCTCTGCTAGGACTCTTTAAACACGATTTATATACATTATAAATCTGTGTTTCCTATGTATTATATATTACGAATATGTGAACATAAACGCAATAAATGCATTTCTATAAATCAATTTTATACTTGACAGCTGTTAATTAACAGTACTCTATTTGCTAACAGATATAAGCATAACATGAACACGTTAACATAGCAAAAGAATGTTATGTTGGACTTAACATAACGAAAGGATAAATCAGCTGGTGAAAATTGGGATTTCTGATGCAGGATGAAATCTCTGAAATTTCATTAGCAAGAAAAACATGATATTGGATTGAATCCAATCTTTAATTACTTTACTTTACATTGGAATACCACAGGAACGGCTCCGGAACTCTGTAATATATCCATATTCCACGTTCAAAGTAAAACAATAGTATCGAATGTGAACAGCCTTTTAATAGTAGTATGCAAATCGGGCATTATGGGTGATTTCGACATTTGTGGTCGCTCTAATGACGTGTGATAATGGAGATGGGTTCGCGACGCACTTGGGCATTGAAGCCCAGCAATGGATCCGAGCTGTAGTCGACGATGCGACGGTGTCCATCGGGTTCGATCAGCGAGTAACGACCCGTAACGTATTCTCCACGTCGATGCTCGAACTGATCCTTCACATCGCCCGTATGGCTGTCGTGCACGGAATAATGAAACTCGTACTGAGCCGGGCTAGAGATGAGCTCATCTGGATGGCCGGCAATGATGCCGCCCTCAGCGGCTGCAGCGCACAGGATCAGGCAAACAGTCAGACTGATTGTCTGCAATGGACGCAACATTAGAGCTAAGTATAATAATAATGAAATGTTGATTAAAGTACCAAGACGTTCATTGTGCTTTCAGTTGAGCTTCAATTGCAAAGAGGGCCTCACACGCAGCTGACTCAACGCCGAGATCCGAGTGAACTGATGGCCAACTGATCGCGATACCTTCCTTATATAGTATATGCCCAGCCAACATATCTGGCGAGACAGTGGCCAAGTTGTGAAGCTGAAACCGAATCCCCGACAGTGCAATCGCTTACGCAATTCCCGCGTCTCTCTGACATCGCATCTCGGCAGTTGCAGACATAAGGGAAATGATATCTGATGCGTTTTGGCTTACTTTTCAAGTATTTGAATAAGGCATAACAGAAAAGACTAAGACCGCATTTTGGTATTAGAAAAGCTTTTGGTTTAATTTAAAGAGTCGAATTTAAGGTCAGTTGAGGTACTTTAAACTGCATAGCAAAGTTGCCATATTTTGAAAATATTGCTAGGTGGCAGCACTGAAACTCAGCTTAATAGCTACAAAATAGACTAAGAAGGTCCAAAGGTCCAGTTCGTTGACCGAGTTGAGGATTTCAAATGCATAGGTACATTCAGTGCTGCCATATTTGCAAAGTATTGCAAGGTGGCAGCACTGAAAATCAGCTTAATTTTTAAAGTACTACAAAATAGACATAATAATTAAATTATGTAGAACTCTAGGTCCAGTTCGTTGACCGAGTTGATGATTTGAAATGCATAGGAACTTTCGGTGCTGCCATATTTGCAAAGTATTGCAAGGTGGCAGCACTGAAACTCAGCTTAATTTTTAAAGTACTACAAAATGTACTAAGAACCTTTGCGTACTTAAAGAATGATTAATTGAAACAGAAGTCAGTTCGTTGACCGAGTTAAGGGTTCAAAATGCATGGCTAAGTTCAGTGCTGCCATATTTGCAAATTGTTGCAAGGTGGCAGCACTTAAATGCAGTCTCATCTACTATTTAACAGGTAAACTGAATGTTTGCTAGTTTAACAGGCATGTTAAATAATATTTAAAAAGAATTGAAAGCCGAACAATTTTTCAGTTAGACATTATTTATTTTCGACTTAGAATAACCATTAACATAATATATTTCTTTTGTTGTTTACATAATTACGTCTTGTTTAATCATTATCACAGCATTAAAATTAATGGATTTTATAAACACATCTAGTTTAGTTAAGACGTTGCGATGAATTTGAAGAAAACATAGAAGGGCGCGCGCTGCAATTAATTGGGTAAGATTTAACACGAAACGAAGGTTCCGGAGTTTCAGGTACGACGACATAAACGAGTACTCGTATGCTCAGTCCCACGATCAGTTCATCCGTATCAAAACTTGTTTTCCAACAAAGATCCTGTCATGTGAAAGATATCAATCAGTATTAGAATTTCGCTCGAATCGCATTTTCTGTCCGAGTTCCATAAAGTGCACCCAATCAATGCATGCGAATCGGTATCGGGTGCTTTGCTATATCTATATATATATACTCTAATCTAGATGGAGTGCATCCGAGTTCTACGCTTGCGGTTTACCCAAATGAAAGTTACCATTCTCGGCGACCATCCAGGCGGTTAGTTTCTCGTCTTCCGTTTTGTTCGTCTCATCCCAGGGAAACGTAGCAGCCTTTTCCTTGAGTATTTTTTGGGCTCTGAAATTGATCAATTATAGATTTAAATGGGTCTGAATATTTGAAATATTCACATCAGTTTTCGTATACTAATTAACATGCAAGTTCGTGAAGCTAGCTACACTTAATATTAAATTTGAAATCGATGGCAATAATCCATCAGAACTTTGGCTCGAAATCTAAACTCAACAACTTTTGTAAAAGAATTCTCTCGCCAATAACCAATATGAAGATGCCTCCGGTGAGTTGCGCCCATCCAAACTTTCAAATCTTTTAATTGTTTTTTGTTTTCTTTTTGAATACTTTAGCTATTCCCCATAATGATTTTAATAGTAATTGGATTAAATTATCGAAACAAGTAAAACAAATAAACATTTGCAATTTTACTCTGTATTCGTATTAAAGCTCAGAATGGGGAGTACCCCTATTATTTAAATGAAGCCCGGTATCAAACTCATTTAATTGGTGACAATGTGATAAATAAAACAAAAATATGATGGCATAACTACATTAAAAATGAATATGATTTCTATTTAGATATTTACAATTTGTTACGAATGCAGATTTTTACCTTATGGGCCAAAAGCGACAATCTTCATCAACTGAGGAGTCGTTTTGGGTTTCACTGTGATGAAAGCAAATGAAAAGCCAAGGAAAGCAACAGACAGAGTACATATAGAGATAGATAGGAGATAGGAGAGTACATAGACATTAAAAGAAGCACAGATATGAAACTTGGCTGATCAAAGACCAAACACAACATATGAGTATGAAGTACTAGTACACAGACCCATTCAAGCCTGGGCAAGATTCCACGCTACTTACGGATTCGTGGACAGGGAATCTGTGCGGCTGCCATTGTTCGCCTCCAGGCTGCTGGGAGTTCGCCTTTTGGCGGCACGCTTGAAGTTCTCGCTGAAGTAGTCGCGTCCATTCTGGGAGCTGGTCGTCGTTTGGCCACTTTTCGCCTGCTGCGTGGGCGGCACCGTGTGCGGATACTTGCCATCGCTGTCCGAGTCCATGGACAGGTGCCCGAACAGATCCTCCAGCAGAATGTTCGACTTGGCATTGCGCTGACGTTTCGCCGACGTTTTCAGTTTCGAGCTGTATCAATGGATCAAAGATTTTTCAAACTATTTACAAACACACAGCAAAAGCCACGAATTGCATCAAAACAGTGCTCGAACATTTGAAACTATTGAAATAATTGACAGCACAGACCAACACACAAATACAACCGATACGGAGGCAGGGGACAAGTCGAATTTACAATTTTGAAAAGATGTACATAATTTGATTCCTACTCTCCAAGCCCAAAGAGTATATAGTATTTATCTTAGATACTGAGATACATCTACCAGATATCCTATTCAAATATCGATTTTGAGACATGATTTTTCAAATATAACACAAAAACTATACATCAATACGAGGGCGTGGTCGACTATATAAGATCTCCCTTAGCAGATTTGTCTACTCACCCTAGTATCAGATCCAGATCGTCAGCTTTCAGCCTTGTCTCCGTTGGCGCTGCCTGGGAACGCGCCGATAGCCGAATGGCAGCTCCATTGAGCAAGGACGTCGGCTCGAAGGGATGCTGTGGCGGGTGCTGGCGCACAATGATGCTTGATGGCGCCGGCATGGCGCTCACCTTGGAGAACATGTTGTACACCTTGGCCTCGGGCTGCAGCTGGGCAGCGGGCCGCGTCTGCACATAGTAGCCGCCCATGCCAGGTGCCAATCGGCTGTTATTTTTGGCATTCTTGTTGACCGTCTCGTAGCTCAGCTGGCTGCCATTCACATAGATGGCGCCGCTATTGCGCGTCGACGTGTTGCTGAAGGATACATTGGGATGATGCTGCTGCTGAGGTTGAGGTTGAGCTCCTGGCGGAGCTGGCAGACCAAAAAGCTGCGAAATGTTGCGATTCAGATAAATATCATTGATGGACTCTTTGCCCGGCGGCGCCGGCGGTTGCGGCTGCTGGACCATGCCCAAGCCCAGACTGGCTGCGTCTGTGGATGGGAGCACGCCCACTCCGACTCCGGACAAGTCATTGTTGGAGAGGAAACTCTGCTTGGGCTGATAATTATGGGGCATGCTCACATTTTTGCTGACTTGTCCATTGAACAGGGTCTTGCCGTTGCTCTTCATGTTGTTGTTGTTGTTGTTGGTGCTGTTGTTGTTGTTGTTGTTGCTCTGATGTATGAGCTCAGTCACGGCCTGCAGCTTCTCCTGCACCGGAAGCACATTATTTGACACAGTGGGAGGTAGGACAGCATATTTGGAGCTGAGCCTCACATTGGCCTTGGCAGCCGCCGTGGGCGAGATGCGCTTGAGCGCATGGAAATATGGATACTTAAGGCTCTGCTGAGCCGTTGGCCGTTTCTCGGGATCGTAGGCCAGCAAATCCTCCAGCAAATCCAAACCATTTTGGCTGCAGCGGCTGACCACGCTGCCCAGCGGCACCTTAATGCAATCGGGATACCGAAAGTGTATCATGGCCGCCAGTCGATAGCCATCCGGCCAGTCGCTCTATTGTTGGAAAAACGAAAAGCTGGCACATAAATCTGTAAGGACATATCCACAAAACCCACCTTGCCGGGCGTGCCCAGCACGGAGCATATCTTAAACAGCTGATCCACCTCGCTGCTGCCGGGAAAGAGCGGCCGGAACGTGTACAGCTCGGCCATGATGCAGCCCATGGCCCAGAGATCGATGGTGCTGCCATAGTTGGTCGAGTGCAGCAGCACCTCCGGCGCACGGTACCAGCGCGTGGACACATAGTCCGTGAACGGCGGTCGGGAACGTATCTCTCGCGCCAGCCCAAAGTCCGCTATTTTGATCAGCTCCGGACCCGAGCATAACAGATTCTCGGGCTTGAGATCGCGATGAAAGAAACCATGCCGATGCATAAAGGCCAGCCCCGTCAGGACCTGAAACATCAGTAGATGAATATATATTTCACTTTCTATTCCCGATCCTTACCTGGAACAGTATACTCTTGAGCTCCGGTTCCGGTAAATGCGTGTCACGATCCTTGATCATTTGATACAGATTCTCCTTCATGTACTCAAACACAAAATACAAGGTGTCGTTCTCCCTGATCACTTCCTTCAGCTTGACGATATTCGGATGCGATAATTTCTTCAGAGACTGCAAAACGAGATCCTTAATCAACTCAATCGGAGCAATTTTATTAGCTTATCAAATGCGAACCTTCACTTCGCGCAAATTCATGGCCTCCTCCCAGGAATAATATTTGCGCTTCATGCGTTTTATGGCCACCTTCTCGCCGGTGTCCTTACGCTGGCCCAGCACAACGGTGCCATACGTTCCATCGCCCAGTTGGGACAGTGTTATATAACGATTCATGGTACAATCAGCATGGGCGCGCCTTTTTACATATTTTCCATATGCGACTAGACGGGATCAACACTGAAAAACAACGTTCACTACTAAATTCGAAAAAGACCTTATTAGCGTATATTGCCCGGCTATATCCGGCTAAAGGTTTCTGCTTCAAAATGTAGAGATCCCTATTCCACCCGTTTGAATGAAATATGAAATATGTGAATGAATGTATGAAATCTTTTAAAATATAGACGTTTTAACTGAGTTTAAAGCCGAGCAGAATGTAAGCAACAAATTTCCATCCACCCGTTTTTCACATATATTCCACAGTTGCGCGTGGAATTCAAAAAAAAAAAAACTCTATGAACTTGATAAATATGATTTTTAAATAAAAAACGAATAAAATAAAAGCACAATTATCGAATTATATATATAAAAATGTAAATGTTAAGTACATTACGATCTATATATATACTTAATTTTAAAATTTCCAACTTCTTCCTTCTGTTGAGCGTAGAGGGGCAAATCGTGATTAGTTGAACGTGTCGACATGCCAATGGGACTTGTTAAAAAGACCATTAAAACAAATGCAAACACTTAAAATCGAATCAATTTCAGCTAAGTAACTGGCAATTAATTGGATTGGCTCCACTCGTGGACAGACAGGACCACATGTTGAGGGTATTTCTTATTTAATTATTTTTCGGATGCAACCAAGTTTTAATCAATATATTGATTAAGGGACTGTAGCCTGAACTATTTGAACACTTGACCAATTTATTTTGATTGTGCCACAAGTCTATCTATTGCCCCAAATATCAAGGTCATATTCCATTGTTTTGGGGCTACAAAACATTGCTTACCGATTAAATGGATAACATTGTCTGGGTTACAATGAAAATATAAATAAATGTGCACGGATATTTGGCAAGATATCATCATAATTAACGTATCATCGCCCAGAGCTGGACTAACGTATTTAGAACCTAATCTAGTTGAATTGTTTATTGTATTGTATTTAGAACCTAATCTAGTTGAATTGTATATACGCCTTAATTGTATATCATTTTCAATAGATTATTCCATTCGCTGCCCTTTTGAATGCACATGCATTTTTAACTTGACCTTTAAAATAACAAATGCAAATTCTCTTTTATTACAGAAAGTGCGATTGCCTCTTGCAGAGTTTATACAGGGTGTCTCTTTTGGTTTCTACAAGGCAAAGGCTTTGTGTAGCAAATTACTGAAAGATATATATATCTGATGATATTATCTGTATTTAAGAATTAAAGGTCAATTGCAACGGACTGCAAGATACTCTATACCAGGATATAAGGTCAACTTTTCACAGTTAAAATAGTGTATTATTAAGTCGGAATAGGAAAGTATTTTTGTACCCAAATTTTAAGTATGTATCTAACCCTTATATACTCTTAATTTAGTGAAAGCGTGTTATTATTTAATAGTATAACGTACTTTAATCAATATCCCTAAACCTTGTCTCTGTTTTTAGTCCTGTATAGCCTTTGGCTAGGATATCGAAGTCTCAAAATTCTTGAGATTGTAGCCCTTCTCCTCTCTTGAGAGTAGCCAAATAGAGGTCAATGACAAAGACTTTCTCAAGTTTTAAAACTAAATTAAATTTTTTATAGATCCGTAAACTCAATGTAACCCCCGAGTGGAGCACCCTGTATGCAAGAAATACAAGCTCGTTCCCATTTGGTATCACATTTCCGAGACAATTAGAAGTTTGAAACGTTGGGCTTTTATTACTTATTTATAGCACCATGTCAAATTAGAAGACGGTTCGTTGAAGGTTCCAAGTCCACATACACTCAAATGGGACATGTGTGGTTTTTGGTAGGGTAAGTGAGGAGGGGAAAGGGGGTAGGGCGAGGGATAGGGGGCTGGCCAGGAGCCGAATCCAAGACTTGAGTCAGCACGGGCTTTTGTTTTGGCTTTGGCATAGCCTTGAAACACATTAAACATTGCGTTAAATAGAATTCTCCACATAACACGCACACCAACAAAACGCATTTATTTATTATGATGAACCTTTCCGCCATATCGCATTAAGATTATATATGTATTCGCGTTCATTTCGGGGCTCACTTTATCGATTAACTTTAGTTAAAACAAACTGAATTGCACATCTATGGGCAATTACAGAGCCTGTTAGCTTTACCTACGGATTCACTCGATATCGCGGCCGGAACGTGAATATATAGTGGAATATGCTTCGAGGAGCTCGAAAATATATTTATATTGCGAAACCGAAGCGAGCTTATCGCAGTATCTATTGCGAGCAGCAGTTGATTTTATAAGCAAACATGAACAACTACCAACTACGCCGATATCCACAACAACCGCAACCCTAAGTAGACCAAGCGCCCCTCCCAGGCCCGTTGTCAACCAGAAGGGCGCCGCGAGAGCGAGAGCCACGCACGAAGCTTAACGAATACGTGGAATCAATCGAGAACCTGGCCAGAGCCAAGCGATTGCACCTGTTTAAGGCGCCAGGGTTGAATTTTTTTTCGGCAACTAAGGAGCAGGACCACAACACGCATTCTCTACATGCCACTTGCGAGTCCGCGGCTGGTAACCAGGCATGGCTCCGTATTTACCAAATTTGTTTGGGACATTAGCGGGTTGCCGGGGCAACGCATAAATTCGCCAGCCCGAACGTGGCCAGACATATGTTGAATGGCCATCAAGGGACATGGATGAGGAGACGAGCACCACAAATGGGCAAGCAAATAAAACGTTTCTCGAGGAGGTTAACTTTCCAGAGCCGGGCATTATCAATCTGGACATGATCAAATCCGCCTATCTGGAGGAGGGACAACGTGGCGAGACGCGCCGCTTGCATCAGCTGGAGCCCGTGGTACTGGAGCGCATCAAAACAATGCGGCTGGAGTTCAAAAGTGAGTCAAATTTACAGCGAAAATCAACTAATTTGCAAGCTATCAGAATATAAAAGAATATTATTTATACTTCGAATAGTAAAAAAATATCTAAGTTCTCAGAACATCACGGAATATTATGTATATTCGGATAATTAAGAAAGAAAATAACTTAGTAAACCGATTTATTTATTTACACAACATTTAAAAGATTATTAAGTAAAATGATTACTAATCGCACACATTATAATGCGCAAAATTCAGATATTTTACGGATCGATCATTTGTGGGTTCTGCCGAACCTGACCAAACTCTGTCTCAATTGCAACAAAATCGAAGTAATCGAGCACATTGGAATGCTGACTGCACTCAAGGAGCTCAACCTGAGCTTTAACTATATAACCAAAATTGAGAATCTGGAGACATTGGTCAATCTGGAGGTATTATCTTTGTTTAGCAATCGCATAACAAAAATCGAAAACCTGGAGACATTAGATAAATTGGTCATACTGAGCATTGGTAACAATTTGATCGAGGTTTTAGATGGCGTAAGTCCGATTCGACTAACAATTGATAACATATACTAATATATATACTTATTAACTATTCCACAGATTGATCGCCTGCGCTTTGTCAAGAGCTTGAGAGTACTTAACCTGGAGGGGAATCCCATAGCCAAGCTGCCAGACTTTCCGCTGTCGCAATATGTAACCGCAATATTGCAGCAATTGAATTACTATGAATACGTTTTCATCAAGGATGAAATGCGCGAAGCGGCTCAAAAGAGATTTTAGTAAAATATTTGAAGCCGATTAGAAAATATTTAAAATTTAATATATTTCACTTCAACAGCAGAGAGCTGCGCGAAATCGAGGGCAAACAGGAAAAGGAAATACACGCTCGGGAGACAAAGGCACGCGAACTCGCCGAGGCGGAACGTTTGTCTTCCAGCTTTGTAGAGCATCTGGATGGCCACCAGCTGTATGAGACCATGTGGCGAGGCGACAATGACGGCAGAGTTCTCATGTTAATTGGCCCAACTGCACAAGAGCTGGCTGAGGAGTACGAAAACGATGTATTCGAGCTAACTCAGAAGATTTACAAACTGGGTCTGGAGCGCTTCAGCGAGCGCGATGCGGAAATTAAGGATTTTATGGGCAGTCTACAGGAAGGTCAACAGGAGCTGCAGGCGCTCGGTCAGCAACATATTGAAGAATTTATGCAATTTAGGGATAAGATCTTCGAGGAAGCGAGCAGCACACTGCGTGAACTGGAGGCTGGCGATGAAGAGGCGCCGAAGCACTTGCAACTATGCGAAGCGATGGACGCACTGAATGCGCAGTTTGACGATGCGCTTAATGAGATGTGGCAAAATCTAATGGCACAGGAGCTGCATCTGCATGAGGCAGTCGAGGTAAGTTTAGCTGCATGTCTAATCTGTAAATCTGAGCATCTGTGTTTTCACAGGAGACCACGCTGAACTTTGAACGTCGAATTTCGCGCTTAATGGCCAGCTTCGTGGAGGAGGCACAAATTTACTTTCTCCAGCTGCGCGATGTTTGCGAGCACTTCGCGGATAACATGACCGACGCAGTGTCACGTTTCATATCGCATAAGCTGGCGCTGCAAGATCTGGATGCGGTGCCTCAAGAGTTGCATATGTGCATCGATGATCGGGAGTCCCTGTTGCGGATTGTAGGCGATATGAAGGCCACGCAGATATCGCGTATTGAGGAGCGCGAGGATCGCATGGCCACCCGAAGCAAGGAGTTCATAAACAACTACGTCGAGAAGCTAAGCAAGTGAGTACCAGATCGTGCGATTGCAAGGGATCAATTCAAACAAATAATATTGCAGAGACGAAATGAAGCGACATCGTGCTAAAATATTGGAAATTAATTCGTTTATGGAGATGATGACAAAGGCCATGGCTAACCTACCTGAGGAGATTCACTCGGAATTGTTTTTGGATGAGCGGTAAAATTTTGGAGCTGCGCAGGTTCCAGCGCAGTCTAAAGTTGAGGTCTTGAAAAATCCCTTTAATAAACTCTCTAAATGCAATTTAGTTCGCCATTTTTTCAGCTGCTTATCAACCTGTTGATATGCTATCCATTGTGTCCATTCGTTTTCGATTATTGGAGTCGATTTCAAAGCACAATCACTTCTAACAAATTTAATATTTAAAGGGAATATAAAAGCATTTTCTTACAAAAACTAACAAACCCTAACCCTTGTAAATGCACAGATTAACACAGTACGTTTCAGATGAAATATAAATTTCACTTTCTGTTCTTGCTCTTGAGCTTTGCAAGATACTCTTCCAAGCCCTGCTGAAACAATGGCGTATTTATATATTCCAAGGATTCCCGTAATTGACCTTCCGGATCGTTTATCAAAAGCTGCACATCTGGCGCACGAAACTGTCGCTTGGTCAGTGCTCTGGCCTCCGGTTGTGTCTTCTCAAAGCTGCCAATGAATTCAGCACATTTACAGAGAGCTTCCGACTTGCTTTCGGCCACTTCATCGATGAGATTCACTTGCAATGCTTCTTCGGTGGTAAAAAGTTTGCCTTGCAGCAGCGCTCGTTCCGCGATGCGACGCGGCAAGACGCTCAGATACGACATCATTATAAACGGTGGCACCACATAGCCAAATTTCGTGGCATGGATGCCAATGCTAAAGCCCGGCAACATGACTCGGTACTCACAAGCTGCAGCCAACACACAACCAACGGCAATTGCGTGACCCTGTGTAGAGAGAGAAGTGTGCCAAATGATCCTTTAACTCATCATTTAAATGGAACTTACATTGATGGCCGCTGCTGTAGGAACACTGCTTTGGTATAGAGTTAGCCACAGGTCCTGCAACGTTGACCAGAATGCTACCAGACGCTCTTGGTTCGGTTTGTGCAATTCATTGAGATCCAGTCCGGAGGAGAAGACTTTATCGTTGGACTGTTAAACAAGAGGAATATATAGCCCCTGCTGTAGTCTGTAAACTATCTTACCGATGTCAGTATTAGTCCACGACTTTTATCACATTCGATCTGCTTAATGGACTCGTGCAGTTCCTGCAGCAGCTCCAAATTGCAACTGTTTACAGGGGGTCGGTTCAATGTCAGCGTCGCAATGCCCGTCTTGTCGTCCATTTCCACCACGGTGAGATTGGATGCTTTTGTCATGGATCTGTGCAGGCGAGGCAATTGGCGCCTGCCCAAATCCATGAGTTTTGTTTGGCTACGCAGCATTTTGTGGACTGTTGATCACATGATACATAGCAGACAAGGTCATTATTTGCACACTTTGATTACTTTTGGCATTTCGTCACAATATTGCTGTTATTGGTGTTCAGCGCTTGTGACGTCACTGCCAGTAAAACGCACTCCATATCTACTACGTACCATGTGTGGATCGTTCAGTAAGAAGAAGAAACAAAACTTGTTCTATTCCCTCGTTTCAAAGCAACTCAGCGGAGTTAAAAACCCAGCCATAGATACAAGACCAATACAAATTTACAGATTCAACTTTTAATGGCATATATACATATTTAAAATATATTGTGTGTATAAAAACAGTATATGAGAATAACTACAAATTCAAAGGCAACGAATTCAATTCTTGGCCTTCTTTTTTAGACTTTCCAGATATATGCCCAACCCTTTTTGCACAGCCGGTTGGTTTACAAAGAACAGAAACCTTTCCAAATCCTGGGCACGTTCATTTTCCAACTGTTGTAATTCATCAGCCCTCAGCTGCTGCTTGGTTAGCGAACGAGCTAGCGGATTAACTTTGGCAAATGTACCAATAAACTGGGCACACTTGTCCAAGGCTTGCTCTTTGCTAATGGCAACTTCATCGATCAGGCCAATTTTCAGGGCTTCCTCTGTGGTAAACATGCGTCCCTGGTTGAGCGCACGCTCAGCTTCACGTCGGGGCAGAACGCTTAGGAAGGATGACATAAACCATTTTGGTGCGACAATTCCAAGTTTAGTTTCGTTCAGACCAATTGTGAATTTTGGCAGCATAACGCGATACTCGCAGGATGTGGCCAATAAACAACCTCCTGCTGGGGAGTGGCCCTGTCGAAATTATTATTAATTAATGTGCTTTAAAGTGATTTTATGCCATTTACGTTAATGGCAGCTGCTGTTGGCACACTGCTGCCATAGAGGGCCAACCAGACGTCCTGCAGAGCGGTCCAAAATGCGCGAATTCTGTCCTTGTCTGGCTTATACATTTCGAGTATGTCCAGACCAGCGGAGAATATGCTGGGATTTGACTAAAAATGAATACAATTGATGAGCCAATCATGATAGATCAAGGATTCTCCTTACCGATGTCAATATTAGGCCACGACTTTTGTTGCCCTCTACTTCTCCGATCGATTGATTTAGATCGCGTAGCAAATCCAGGTTGAGACCATTTACGGGCGGCCGGTTCATTGTGAGGGTAGCGATGCCAGTTTTATCATCAACTGCCACAGTGGTCAGCTTTGTGGCAGTGGACATATGCCGGCACACACCTGTGGTACGGGGCACCAGACTCAAAAGCTTTGAGCGCATCATTCTTAAAAAAAATAATTACAAAGATGTCAAAATCTTAAAATGACCTTTGGACGCGGACTCATATTAAGGAATTTTGATAAGGTTAGTACATTTAATACTATAAAAACAATTTATCTGAACTCCAATTTAATTATTTACCATAAGCGGTAAGCATGTAAGTAACTATAAAAATTTAAATCTTAAATTGATTTACCTTAATATTCAAATTGTTAACTAAAACAGCTGTTACAGAACCTGTTGCACTTCTATTGTTATTGATTATTCGATTATTTTGCAACGATTGTGCCAGGGCTGAAGGATTTGAACTGCTTCATTATATTTCAAATCACTGCTTCACTGCAAGTTACATATTAATATTAAAAGAGCTCTTTATTTATATATTTATATTTATTTATATTTAATTGTAAAAAGTTTAGAAATTAGCAATGAGTTTTTTTTCGTAACTTTAAGTAAAGATACTAAACAGTAGATAAATAGAACACTAAATTGTACGAACCAGTTCACCAAGTGTAGAGTGAACAGGTTTATATCGCGGAGCAACTTTGTCTTTTGACATTTACCTTACACGTCACTACGCCGCAGCTGTCACTTTGCCGATGCGACTGCCTTCGTGTACGCTTTACTCTCATTCTTCGTTCGCCTAGCTGCGTTGCTGTAACTTTCACTAGCGCATTTCATACAAAACACACACGTAAAAATGGGCTCTGGCAAGCAACAGAAAGTGCAATCGTCTGGTTTCACCAAGGAGGAGGAGCTGCTGCTGCAGGACTTCAGTCGCAATGTCACCACGAAATCGGCGACAATCTTTTACGGCAACGCTTTCATCGTCTCCGCGCTGCCCATATGTAAGTGCCTGTGAATAGTGACACGTTGTTGAATTTCCCAACTTGCCCGCTAACGGAATGTTGATGGTTTTTAGGGCTGTTCTGGCGCATTCACAACATGGACCTGTGGCCCAGCTCCATTTTGTTTGTGCTGGTGACTGCGGCTAGCACCTATTTGATGGCCACCGCCTACAAGAACATCAAGTTCCAGCTGAAGCACAAGATTGCCGTGCGCCGTGAGGAGGCTGTTACCCGCGAGGTCAACCGCCAGCTGGGCGATGACAAGAAGGTCACGCGCAAGGAGAAGGACGAACGCATCCTGTGGAAGAAGAACGAGGTTGCCGACTATGAAGCGACCACATACTCGATTTTCTATAACAATGCCCTCTACCTGGCCATCATCATTTTCATCAGCTTCTTCCTGCTGAAGAATGCCACGCCATTTGTCAACTACATCTTCTCCATTGGCGTGGCCAGCGGTGTCCTGGCGTTGTTCTCTACCAGCGCCCAAACGAACTGAACAATTTCATGTACTCGTATTGTTAGGCCCATTAAGAGATTCTTACCTTAAAGTGCGAGCAACAGATTCCATTTATCACACTCGCATCTTGTCTTGATGTAAACATTTTAGCTATTTCGAAAATATCAGTTTTATAATGAAATGTTGTCTTTCTTGTAGAAAGCTTTACAAACACTTCCATGTGCAAAATGTTTAAATAAATTTGTAAAACCCAAAACAAAAGCAAAATATTTGTAATCAGTCCTTAACTTTATTTATATTTCAATCAAAACGCTTAATCTTATCGTAAATGCAGAACTGGCTTCGCCTCAAACGGCCTCCAGCAGCAGGGCGATGCCCTGACCACCGCCAATGCAAGCGGAACCGATGCCATATTTGAGCTTCTTGCGCCTGCGAAGCGTGGAGGAGAGAGCGATATATGAATGGAGATGAATGAAGTTCGCAACCGGAACAGTTTGTCTACTTACTGCAACTCGTGCACCAGATGGCCCGTGATGCGAGAGCCACTGGCGCCCAGTGGATGACCCAAAGCAATGGCACCGCCGTTCACATTCAGTTTGGTTTGATCCAGCTTCAGGGCATCGGCACAGGCCAGGGTTTGAGCGGCAAAGGCTTCATTAATCTGCAAAACGTTTAATTGAGAACCAACTATAACTGTGTACGCAATTGGAGACCTACCTCGATCAGGTCTATGTCCTCCAGTTTCTTGCCGGATACCCTGAGCACGTTTTGTATGGCAGGCACTGGTCCAATGCCCATAATCTCGGGCTTGACGCCCACAAACGAGAAGGCAACGAGACGTGCCAGCGGCTTCAGATTGTACTCCTTGAGCGCCTCCTCGGAGGCAACGATCACAGCGGCAGCGCCATCACAAATGCCGGATGCTGTGCCCGCGGTGACGACGCCGTTCTTCTTGAACAGCGACGGCAGCTTGGCCAGGCCCTCGATGGTGGTTTTGGGGCGTGGATGCTCGTCCACCACAAAGTCAACCTCTTTGCCCTTGACCTTCAGTTTGATGGGCGTAATTTCGGCATTGAAGGCGCCCTCCTGCTGTCCCTTTTCCCAGTTCCTTTGCGAACGCAGCGAAAACTCATCCACGCGCTCCCTGGAAATCTTGTACTGATCGGCCAGATTCTCAGCAGTCAGCGCCATCGGCAGCTTGCAGTGGGTATCTGTCAGACCCGCCCACAGGGCATCCTCCAGATTGTAGTTGGCACCCAATGTGGTGCCAAAGCGCATGTTGCGCGCTATGAACGGAGTCTGCGACATGCTCTCCACGCCGCCGGTGAGCGCCACCTTGGCACCGCCCACCAAAATGTCCTGAGCACCATTCACAATCGACTGGAAGCCAGAGCCGCAGAGACGATTAATGCCCAACGCTGGCTTCTCAATGGGAACGCCGCAGTTGAGTCCGACATGGCGAGGCACATAGATGCCATCTGTGGACGAGGACTGCAAATAAAAGATGAGCAGAATTCGTATCACTTTCTTCAGTTAGCCAAGCTAAAGTCCAGAGTCCGCTTCAGCCAGCAACTTACCGCAATCACATTGCCCACGATGACCGTGTCCACCTGCTCGCCCTTCAGGCCAGCCGCATCCAGCGCCGCCTTGGCAGCTGTCGTCTGGAGCTGCGTCTGATTGATGTTCTTCAGGGCGCCACCGAAGGTTCCAAAGGCCGTGCGCTTGGCAGCCACAATATAAATGCCTAGAAGACAGCAATTAAATATGTGAGATATGAAGATTATTCAAATTAAGAAATGTTAACGAAAGCGGGTCCAAAGTGCGGACGCTCGCTCCCCTTGCCGGTGCCCAGTTAGTGCTGGGCGAGGGGGGAGCCAAGGGGCCGCCGGGCAGCAGATAACACAGCAACAAGTCCAAAGTTCACATTTAGCATATCAAAAGTCTCCCACGAACAAAATATGCAATTCATGTTACCTTTTGTTACTGCGGACATTTTGCACAAATTGCACTTGTTGCGACAATCGAGTAAACGGTTAAGAAATTGTAATTAATATATATATATATACGAAAAGCGACTGAAACTCTTATGCTGCCTGTAGAAGAAACGCTGGCCACAAACGCTCGACATCAACTCGAAGTCAAACTTGCGGCCGGCCGACATTTTGTAGAGCGTAAAAGCTCCGCCTCCGCTGCGCGAGGCAGAGAGCTTTTGTGGCGGCAGAAAAGCCAAACAAACAAACTAACAGCTGTTTAATGCACAGTTCGAAATAATTGTAGCTTTTTTCTAGCTAAATTAGCTTGTGTGACGTATTTTCTATAAGATTTATTGAAAGTTATATAAACTCAGCTTCAAATTAACAAATAGCTATAATTCGATTATTTTTATCTCTTTAGGCTGATTGATTTGCGATTTATAAAAGTAAAACTTAGTTTGTCCTTTATTCGGAGCTTTGAAGAATTTCGCCTGGAAATGTGAGAAATGGGTGAAAAACGCTAGAAAGCTTGTTTGTGTTTCAAAGCAATGCAAAATTAATTTAATTTAAATGGGATACTTTTAAAAATAAACTAATCAATACGTGCTTGGTGTTTGTAAAAGAATCTGTTCTTTGTGAAAGTGTCTTCACTTAAAATTTTCACAATTTTTATCGGAATAAAAGTATATTTTACAACCAACTCGTATTTCGTAATTTGGTTGGGAGTTAGCTCTCCGCTTTTTTGGCCCTGAAATAAAAAGGTCGTAAGCTTGTGTTAACTTAGGCTAGAGTTGTATATTGAATATTTTTACTTAAATAAATATACATGTGTAAATGCTGGACTTTGAATTAAACTTTATACTTGGAACTAGGACAGAGGAGCGCAGTACAAATAGAAATTGGCATTGATATTGATTAAATAGCAGAAGTAATGTTAGTTTTTAATTGATTTGTATTTCTTATCAAAATATTTTCATATTATAGGATCTTGTTCCATCTTCATGGTGAGTTGGATATATCCATGTTGTCCGACTTCTCAACGCTGACCGATTTGCGGGCCTTCGCCTCGACATCCTCTGTGATGGGTTTCAGTTTGCGTGTGTCCGGTGTGCGCGAACGTCGTCGGGAGGACGAGGACGAGGACTTGCTTGAAATTGTGGCCACATCTTTGCTCCGGCTGGATCGCGACTTGCTGATCGGTGGTGGCGGCGATGGGGAGCTGCGTTTGCTGCGCGAGCGCGGCGAACGGGCGCGATGCGACTTCTTGCTGCGCTCACGGGATCTGGAGCGTTTGCCGTTGCCGCTGCCAACGCTAACAACGCCACTGCCACCGGCTCCTGCACCTCCATGCGAGCGTGAGCGATGTGTGCGTGAAGTGCTGCGGCGATGTCGAGATCTGGAGCGCTTGCCGCGCGATCTCGACGAACGCGAATGCTTGCCGCCACGTGAGCGTGAGCGGCGCGAGCGTGAGCTGCTGCGACGATGACGCGATCGCGAGCGTTTGCTGCGCGACCGTGACGAGTGTTTGCCGCGAGAGCGCGAGCGTCGGGACCTGGAGATGCTGCGTCGCTCGCGAGTGCCGGAGCGACGGCGCCGACGTGAGCTGGACCGATGCGAACGGGATCGACTGGTGGTGCGTCGCTCGCGGGAACGTGAGTGTGAGCGAGAACGTCGCCGCTTGTCCTTGGCCAGCATGCCAATGACGGGATCTATGGCGGCCGATATCATGCTCTGTGCTTCCTTGACAATCGTCATGGCCTCCTCAATTTCGGCCTGGGCTGCCTCATTCGACTTGGCCTCGGGCTTCGTAATGGAGTAGGTCGAGTGGTAGACACTCAGATGGCCGCCCTTGAACTCTTGGCCCTGCAGGCGCAGCGCATGTATAACGCTCGTCTGCTCACAGAACTCGATCATGCAGTACGTCTTGTTGTCCTTTTCGGCCCAGCGCGCGTATTTGACCTCGCCGGCACGTTGGAAGCACTCCATGAGATCATCGAGGCGCCACTCGTTGCGCACATCGCACACAATGATGGTGCGTCGGATTTCTTCTATCTTGCGCGCATCGTAGAAGGAGGGCAGCGCTGGATATTCGGGCAGATTGAACTCCACTAGCTTGGGATCATACGTCTTGATGACCTGCTGCGGCAGCTGGCCCTCAATGCGATTGATTACCTCCGGCGGCAATTTGGAGTCTGGTTTCTGCAAGCCCGGCACAATGGTGCCATTCTTAAGCATCTCCAGTGCACGATACTCCTCGGGTATGGCCAGCACCGGGATAACAATGAGCGCCCGGTCTATGAAAACGGTATTGGTCAAGTGCTGGGCAACGGGCACGCTGCTCGTCTCCGTGTATTTCACATAACAGATGCGCGACTGCACCGGGCAAGAGACATCCCGTATGGTGGGGTACAGTCGAATCTCCTCGATTTTGCCAATGTTGCCGAACAACGTTTGCATCTGATCCTTGGTGGCCTGCGGCGCAATATTGGTCACCTGTATAACACGCGGTGTGTTGCCGCCAGCCATGTTTGATGTTTCACTTTCGTTAACAAACTTGGGAAAATGTCTTTTAGTTTTTTTTTAGCAAAAAACAAATACTCAATTAACCTCTCTAGCACAAGTGGAAAAAATTCGACGAGGGCTGCACAGGGCGTCGCGAAAATCTCGATTGGCCCACAGGGCTAACGCACCGATAACAGTTTCGCGTCGCGAACGCACATCGTTATCGATTGCGATTGGCATCGGTATGCAACTGCGAGTACTGATTATTTGTGTGAATTGTGAATGCAAAAGTTGTAGGAAAATTTTTTGTACTGTAAATGTTAAATTGTACATTAATTGCAATTATTATTTCTAAATAAAACGTCAACAACTGTTTACAATTCGGCTCGCCTCAGACATGTCGGAAAGCCAAGCGCCATCTGTCTCAAAATCTAGTTTGAACGATTTGCGACAGTTTCGCATAAATAAAAATGCAGCTGCCGCAGCTGCCAGCCTGGGCAGAACTGGTAGGCATTGTGTATATTATTCCATTGACGGATGCTACATTAAACAATACAACTGTTGTGTTGCATTTCAGAGCGTGTGCCTGGCAAGAAGCGCATCCAGGTGATGGCCGACAGCGACAGCGACAGCGCAGACTGTCAAACGCCAAAAAAGCCTAAACTTGTGTTGACCGTCAAGGAAAAAGAGGAGCGTTATATGGCGGCCGCAAAAATAATGCCAAACTACGATACGATGGTAAGTGCAACGTTTGCCATAGTTATATTTTTTCTTTTTTATTTTTTTTTTTGCGTGCGGGGTGCGGGGAGCAAAGCGCGCGCGTCGCTTACATGTGTTCGGAATATGGCGATTCGGGCCCGGCATTGTGAACAGCTGTTGACACAGGGGCGTCGCTGGCAAGGGGTTGCTAAGGAAATTATAGGTCAGGATTTTGTCCTTTTCAAATGAAAAATATATGCTTTATGTATGTCTCAACATAAACGCTGTATATAATTATAAGAAATATTTATTATTAGAAAACTTTTGTTAAACTCACTAACTTTTGTTAGTTCAGTCTTGTGACAGTACGCTAATTAGTTAATTTATATTCTAGGCAATTCAAGACTCGCTGGCACGATCTAATTGGGACGTTGCAGCGGCAACACGTTATCTGAAGGAAAACTGTAAGCCCAAAGCGCAAAATGGACCCTTGGATAAGGCGAAACTGAAGCCGAGCACGAATGGAAGTGGAGCCAAGGCGCATGGCAAGTCGAGTGGCAACTACTCGGACTACGACAACTCGGATGATGATGTCAAGCAATCCAAGGATCAGGTGTACGACAGCGACGACAGTGACACCGAAATGTCCACCAAAATGACCGGACAGCGCAAGAAGGTGTTCCAATTCATGAACACGGCCAGCATCATTGAGCTGCAGTCGGTGAAGACGCTCTCGGAGAAGAAGGCAACAGTACTTATTGAGATACGACCATTCAGCGACTGGGCGGATTTGCGACAAAAACTGGAGGCCAACCGGCTATCGGCGGATCTACTTAACTACGCACAGGATCTGATCAACAAACAGAATACGGTTGCAACCATTCTAAGCAAGTGCAACGGTATGGTGCAACGCCTGGAAACGGCCATTGCCAATGGTGCCGGCATTGTGGAGCAGCCAAAGATTCTAAGCAGCAAGTGGGTGTCCATTTCTGTTAGCTTTTTCGTATGTCTCAGAGATAATTCAATTGTGATGAGATATTATAATTTTGTAAAGATTTGCTTCGTGAAAATATGTTCTTATGATAACTGCTCTCTCAGTTCCAGAGCTTTTTTGATGCAACTTAAATTAGGATGAATCTAGCTAAACTAAGTACTATTTTTAATCAATTGCAATAATTTCTTTCGGATCTGTTACAGTTTGCAATTGGCCGACTACCAGGTAATAGGCCTTAATTGGCTCACTGTGATGCATAAGCAGGAAATGAATGGCATTTTGGCGGACGAGATGGGTCTGGGTAAGACCATACAGGTCATTGCGTTTCTGGCCTATCTTAAGGAAAACGGCCTCAGCAAGGGAGCACACTTAATCGTGGTGCCTTCGTCAACGCTGGACAACTGGGAGGCGGAAATCGCCAAATGGTGCCCCAGTCTGGTAGTCGAAAAATATCACGGCTCGCAGGACGAGCGGCGAAGGATGCGCGTACGCTTCGCCAAAGATGGCTTTACCGGCTTTGATGTTCTTCTCACCACGTAAGCGATTGCAGTTGCAAGTTTATTACGCCGTTGCTTTATCTGTACCTTGCCAGCTACCATATAGTTGGATCCACGCCCGAGGAGCGAAAGATGTTCCGCGTTTGCAAGCTACATTATGTCATCTTCGATGAGGCCCACATGCTGAAGAACATGACGACTCAGCGCTACGTCAATCTGATCACAATCAATGCAGAAATGCGCATTCTGCTTACGGGCACGCCGCTGCAGAATAATCTGCTTGAGTTGATCTCGTTGCTGTGCTTTGTGATGCCCAAATTTTTTGCCAAGAGCATTGAGGACATCAAATCTTTGTTTGTCAAGGTGCGTAACAAGTGTATTTTTTTAAGCATAACTTTTTTTATATCTTGCTTTTGATATCTTGCAGAAGAACAAAACCGATGGCGATCAAGAGGAAGTGTCACAGTTCCAGGAGACACAAGTGCAACGCGCCAAACGCATTATGAAACCGTTTGTGCTCCGGCGTCTTAAAAAGGATGTGCTGAACAATTTACCCAAAAAGCACAGCTGTGTGGTAAGCATTCAAAAACCAAGCTGCAAACCTAAGGAATTTTTAATAATTTATATATATGTTTTCTCTTCTTTAGGAAAAAGTTCCGATGAGCGCCTCACAAAAGCAATACTATAAGGAGTTGGTGGAATATTATTCAAACAACAAGGGCGAGATCTGTGGCAGCAGCGATCGTGCCGGTGTGGCAATTATGATGGAAATGCGACGCATGGCCAATCATCCGCTGCTAATGCGTCACTATTTCTCAGACGAGCAGTTGCGGGGCTTTTCCAAGCGGCTGGCGCGCGTCAATTCCTACAAGAAAACCAACGAGCAGTACATATTCGAGGAATTGGCAATTATGTCCGATTTTCAAGTCTATCAACTGTGCAACAAATATGTAAGTCGCGTGAAAACAACTATATAAATATATATGTCTAACGAACGCATTTCCCTTTAGGAACTGTACGATGTCAAGATTCCGGATAGTTTGATATGTGATTCGGGAAAATTCCTCTATCTGGATACCCTATTGCCAAAACTGAAGGAAGAAGGACATCGTGTGCTGCTCTTCAGTCAGTTTACCATGATGCTGGACGTTGTGGAAGAATATTTAAGGATACGGAAGCATGGATTCTGCCGATTGGACGGTGCCACGGCTGTTAAAGAGCGACAGGATCTGATCACAGATTTCAATGTCGATGACAATATATTTGTATTTCTGTTATCCACTAAAGCCGGCGGCGTGGGCATCAATTTAACCGCAGCGGATACCTGCATAATTCACGACATTGATTTTAATCCCTACAATGACAAACAGGCCGAGGATCGCTGCCATCGCATGGGTCAGAGTCGTCCAGTCACCATATACCGTTTAATATCGGAGAGCACCATTGAGGAGGGCATTTTGATGGCTGCCGAAGAGAAGCTAAAACTAGAAAAGGATATTACATCCACCGAGAAGGGCGAGGTGCACGAACAGCGCTGCGTAGTCAAATTGTTAACCATGGCATTGGGCCTGGACAAGGATGAGGAGGAGCAATTGAACAACTCATTGAATAACTCCCTGGCAGCAACTACAAAGTAGTCTGTTAAAACAGCCGCTATAGCGACACACACTTTCCATTTTCCAAGAACACTATTTTTTGTAGCGTTTCATTTACTTTTTTTTAAATGTATACTTAAATTATTGGCGGGCAATTTGCTCATATCATTTGCGTGTATTTATAAGAATCAATATTGTATTAAATTATAAATTAAAATATATTCAAATTTAAGCTCAGCTATAATTTGGTAATGTATTTCTGCTTGCCAAAATTTCTAATAGATCAAAAAACATACTTTTACCACTTTTGGCTGCAGAAAAGATATGTCCATACTTACTGTAGAAATCAAAAATAACAAGTGGACACAGCTATTTGAATTATTCTTAAATATGCATATGCATTGGGCTTAAATAATTGTTTAACAATGGATGAAGTCAATTAAAATACTACTTTTGATTTATGTGCTCATCCGCTGACAAATACTTTTGAATCATCCAGTTAAGCGCAAACTCGACAACCCTCAAATGAGAGCGAGAGAGAGACGCTCCTCTCTCGCGCTCGCTCTCTTTGCGCGAGATCGCATGCAGCGTGTGTTGTGAGTGGAAGAGCTTTTTGGTGCGGCGGCGATTCATCAAGTTTTAGTCTTTAACTGATCGCTCGCGCCGATGATTTAATTTTTAAGTTTAAACGCTGATTTTGTACCACAGAAAAAATAAAAAAAAGCCCTGCGTCAAGTGTTGCAAACAAAACGATAATCACATTACCATATATACATACATGCATATCGACATATATGTGCGAATCAATAAATTTGAACAATTTGCAATATTCAAATAGAGCAAAAGAAACGAACAAATTTAGCGCAACGAAAGGAAACGCCTGTAATAAATGCAGTAAAAATCGAAAGTTTTATGTGATTTCAAATCATATATATATATACATATGTATTTATATGAGAATGTGCAGCAGAGTTGGTAAATTCTATTTTGCTCTAACGACTCGTTCGCTATTATGTGATTCATATTGAGTACATACATACATACAAACATACATGCATACATACATCAGTTTTTGGGCGTTCAGAAGACAAGCCGAATTATATATTTATAAATAGCAGAGCGCTCGCCAAACGGAAATCATATTGGTCCAATACGAACAAATAATACCCATCCATTTGTATAGCAATATTTATTTGTTAAAAAAAAACGACGTCATACCGCATCCAACTAGCGGAAACGGAAGAATATAGCCGCACCTCCGCTGCATATATGTATGTACAGAGAGTCTAGATACATATAGCATGCATATATGAATAGTATGTATAGTATACGGCACATGTGAATAATTCGCAAATGAATAGAATTATAAATGATACATACATACATACATATACAACGCAGAATTTGAAGAAAAACAAAAGCGCGTGCAAGAGCAAAACATAAAAATAAATTCATATCTATGCTTATTTCACATGCCAGGCCATATACCGTATCTGAGTGTGTGTGTGTGCGCGCGCGTGTGTGTGTGTGTGAGTAATAGCCAAGAGAACTAGCGAGCGATCTAAAAAAACGAAGAAACAGAAATAAAACAACAAAAAAAAAAAAAAAGAAACGAAAATTACGCGAACAAATCCAAGAAGAAGCAGCAACTATAACAATTGACAACGAGCTAAGAACAAGCGCAAAGCAACAAACCAAAAATAGGCGCAGCTAACGACGACGTCAGCGTCAACGGTGCGTATACTTACCAGCAGCCGCAGCCGCAGTCGGCCGTCCCACCCTCTCCCCCCGCCCACACCCGATCATTGACTCATCCAACGCGTAAACAGCTGCTCGTGAAATACTAACAACAACAAAAAAACAGCAGCAACTGTAAAGAATAACAAGACAATCATCAATTGTTTCTGCGCCGCTGTATGTGAGTGTGTGTGTGTGTGTGTCTGTGTGCTTGTGTATGCTTGTGTCTGTGTGCTTGTGTATGCTTGTGTTTGTGTGCTTGTGTGCATGTGTTGAGAGTGCGACGATCCAAAAACTAAGCGAAAAACTCACACTCACATAGATGTAGTTGTCTAGAAGGCATTCACAATGCCTGACTGTGAATTATAATTAAAAATAAAAATATATAAAAATAATAATTATTGTTTTGGAATTATTGTTGCCAGCGTATGTGCCGAGCATAATTAAACGACACACGAAGAGCGTATCTATAAAGTTAATGAATAAACACATATCTATACGAATCACAACGACGACGACGACGACGCGAAACCCATAACGACGATATTTAATCTAAAAAACTTGGAAGAGAGATACCGAATAAGAAGCCACAAAAAAAACAAAATAGAGTGTGAAGGCAGTTTAACAATAGCTGAACAGCAACGAAAACCAAACAAATTATTGGATCAATTTTATATTGCATTAAAAGGTAAGCACTAAAAGTTAAACTTTTTGGCAAAATTCCACTCAACACCGTGGAAAATCGATGAGAATCGTTCATCGAATCAATTTTAAATGTTTTTAGATTTAGTTCTAAACAACTTCAAAACTGTATAAAATTCAATCCAAAAACTGATTTAATAAATAATACTTTGCCGGGTAGCGCCGGGTAATGCTTTCTAACAATATTTATGGGCCACGCTAAAAGCCTTAAGAATAGACGTATTCAATTGAAGATTTTTATTTAAATCAATTAAAATGATAACAAATTAAAACTTAGACACAGACTGGCGACAAAAGACTTCCATAACGAGAAAGAAAGGTTATCTTGGGCACGCCGAAGATCTAATACCCTTGCAGAGCCAACCTGTTCATAATGCTCATAGTGCTTTGCCCGTATCTAAGAAGCACAGGGAATATAGTTAATGCCGAGTTTGGTCAAGATATCTTGATAAACAAAAAAGGTTTTTAAGCAAAAACCTAGTTTTCGACCGATCGTTCCTATGGCAGATATATGATATAGTGGTCCGATCTTAATAGGAATTTGCATATATATGAGGAGCTGAGTAAAACTAATAATTGCCGAGTTTAGTCGAGATATGTTTTTTCATACAACAACCTTAATTTTCGAGCGATCGTTCCTATGGCAGCTATATGATATAGTGGTCCGATCCAGCTGGTTTGGACTTCTGCAAAGATAGCTTTAAAACGGAGAGACTAGTTCGGATAGAAACAGACGGACTCGGCTGTTGATGCTGATCAAGAATATATATACTTTATGGGGTCGCAGATGTCTCCTTCTATGCGTTACACATTTCACAACAAAATTATAATACCCTCTGCAAGGGCATTACAAATTGTACAGGACCTCATGTGTCACATCTTTCAATGGACTTTAATCTAACGAAGTTTGGAAACATATTTCAATCGCAAACAATTTCAATTTCAAAACAATTTGCGATAACTTTGAGACTAGTCAAAGTGGAACTCTAAAAGCCAATGAAAAACATTTTCATTATTCTCACAGTCATTAGATTAATTATAAATCCATTATCGAAAGATGTTTTTAGTTGGAACTTAGTCTAGTTTTGTCGTTCCTTATGATAAAACTCTTCTGATTTTGTTTTAATTGAACACAAGTTCAATTGCATTTACTTTATTTTTGTTTAAAATTTTTAAGAAACTGCGTGACTTGAATAAAAATCTAAAAGTTATAATAAATAGATTGGAATATATAGATAAAACTATGAATAATTGTTTTGGTAGAAGTTCCTATATATTAAAATAAAATTATTTAAATTTTCAAATTATTGGAAAAACAATTAAATATAACATCTTTAGCGCAGCTTAACAGAATATTTTGTTTATCTAATATATTTGTATTATTCGAATATTACCATAAAAAATAATTAATTATTATCCGCCTGGAGTTATGTCGTTTTGGAACGTCATATCTCCAAGCGGAGTTATGTCGTTTTGGAACGTCATATCTCCAAGCGGAGTTATGTCGTTTTGGAACGTCATATCTCCAAGCGGAGTTATGTGTTATGTGTAGTGTATTTAACTTTTTTGACCAGACTCTCGATTTAGTTTATTTGTTGTTATTTTTAAAATAAATTTTTCTCAATTTTTTTCGTTTGTTTATTTACAAAAAAACATTGTTGTGTTTAGCTGTCGTGGCAGGCATTTGTTTATTATAGTAATAGAAAATAGCTTAAAAAAAACACACACACACACACACGCACACTCATATTTACGGATACTTAAAAAGCTGAGAAATTAGACAAAAATTACTCAGAGCTGATGTCATCTCAGCTGGAAGTGCGCTGCCCAAGCGCGATCTCGAAACCAGATGCACTCCTACGCGCAGCCGCAGAGCCGGTTGACAGACTGTGGATGTGCCTACGAGGCACATGTATATATGTATATATGTGTATATATATAAACATGATTTTGGATCAAGCGCGCAAATAGTTTATGCTTCAGTCTTCTCTTGCAGCAGTTGTTCAAGAAATGACAGACTGTCTTGAGCTAAAGCTTTGCGTCTAGACTGACTTAATTATTTATTAATATATTCATGATTAATGAATCAGACTGTCTCTCTCTCTCTCCCTCTCTCTCTCTCTCTATTGCAGACCACGCTAATACTTATAAAAGGAATAAATACTATTTGTCTTGCATATAAGACTACGAAAGCAAATTAAGCCTAGTTAATTGTATTAAAGGGAAGCAAATACAAAAAAAAAAAACAAAACAAAACAAGAATTGTGATATGTACAACTTTACTCAAATATTGAAAAAAACATATATAAGCGTTTAGTTCAAGTATTCCGATCTTTAAAGAGACGCAGACGGATACGTGAATAATTCAAGTTTTTCAAAAAACAACAACAAAAACCAAAGATTAGGGTTCTCAATTAGTTTAACGCATAAGAAGAAGAAGCAAGCAGCAGCAACAATGGCAGAAAAAGTGGAAATCTCAGCAGCCACATTTAATAATAATCAACAGAATGATGCTCGAAAGGTGCGCAAATCGCCCGATTTTCAACCCATAATGCCAGGTGTCATATCCAGAGAGCGCAGCTTTGTGCGCACCTCAAATCAACAGGTAAGTCCACAGGCACACACACACACATAATACATATGCATGTGTTAACAATTTTGTTTATAGAACATCAACAAAAGGCGCAGTCTGGCGTTCAACGTGCCTGGCAATCAGTCTGGACAAATGCGTGGCAAGCCCGCAATGGATATATACAGACCTCCAAGTAAGTCTCCCCCCAAATACATATACATATATCATCTATAAAATGCCTCTAAGCTTGCCTTTTCACTAAATTTCAACTCTTTCGTTCATAAATTTGTTGTCTAAAGAAGCTTTTGAATATACATTGGTTTTGGGGAAAACATTTTACTTAGTTTTTTTTTGCCTGGAATAAGGAAACAAATAATATTCCTTCTTTTTTTTGTTAATTTTGTTTAGTTGTTCGTGAACTTTCCCTTCTCATGTTTGTAGGTTAAGTGAAGGAAGAAACAAAATAAAAGTGTTGCCACTTTGCAATACAATACACATTTGGCAGCACTGCAAACAGAACAGTGGTTGTCCAGTCCTGCCAGCTTGTCGATAAAGTGCTGCCCATTTACAAAATTGAAGATTTTAGCATGCGTTGATACAAAGTTCAGATAATAATTATAACTTTATGAGCTTTATAAAATATAAATAATATAAAAATTTAGTGACTGTCTAAAGTTTTTTGGCTTTAAGTAGAACATTTTAGGAAACTCTCTTTTGTTGTTTTCTTTTGTGACATTCCCTTTGTCATTCATACGGGAAATTGAGGCAATAATTGGTACGGAGTTCTTAAGCTTTTTTTTTTTAATGAAATATACAAAATTTCTTTAAATGAAATACACAAAAAATTGCCTTTGCTTGGCAGCTGCTTTAACGAATGCATAAATTACATTATACTATTTAATTGGTAAATGTTTTCTTTCTTCTTCTTCTTTTCATAATTGTTGATAAATTCCCAACACCCGATACCCAAATAAATAAATTCATCACATACCCGTACTTATGTTAATGTTCACTTGTGTGTATCTTTAAATTGTCTCTCGATGGCAACAACAATATTAAACTTTGTCAGATGTGCGCGGCTCCGAGTTAGCCGGCGATGCTGATGGCGCAGGTGGTGCTGGTGGTGCTAGTGGTGGTGGTGGGTGTGTCTCGAACAAGCTGAACATAAATGCCCAGGAGTTCACAATGACGAGCAACACACGTGCGACGCCACCGGCTGAGGCACTTAACAGTAATCGGTAACGCCAACACATTTTTAATGCCAAGCTTTATCCCTCTTGCCGTCTTCTTGCAGAGCTAAACCACAATCTACAACATTCTTCCAGTTCGTCCCTCATCTTCCCAATGGCTGGCGGCGGGCCTAATCTTCTCCAGCAACAGCAGCAGCAGCAGCAGCAATATGCGATCCTCAACAGACGCCAGGCGGGGCTATCGCTGGGCAACATGCCCGCACTGAACAGCCTCAAGGGTGGCCATCATCGTTCCATCTTGGTGACGCATCCGTTGACTGGACAAATACCGCTCATGAATTCACCATCCAGCGGCAATATACTTCATGTATAATGAACGGTTCGGCTTTTAAAGTCAATAATAAATAAATTCTCTCATTGTAGTCGACGAACCGCGTCAAGTTCGCGCCGGAGACCCGGGCACAGAAGTCGGCGCAGCACAATCAGTACGGCAACAATAACAATATGAATCACTACCACAATGGACAGCAACAGCAATATCAAGTGAATGGCATTGATCCTTATCAAAATGGAGCCGCTTTGCAGCGCTCCAAGTCGTTGTCCTCGGCCGATGCGCTGACACGTGGCTTGGCCGGCTTGGGTCTGGGCCTGGGCAATGAGGTGGCCGACATTGGCCAATTTACGCCGGAAATACAGGCACTGATCGAAACGGCACTGGAGGATCCCAACAAATTGAATTCCCGCTGCCTTATGGAGCTGACTTCACAGTTCATCAAGCGCGCCGTCGAGAGTCGACGCTTCGCCTTGCCCATATCGCGTCTCTGCCTCAATATCATCGCCAAGGAGCAGAAGGAGACGTTTCTCGAGGCGCTGCTCAACACATGCCGCCAGTGGTATCAGGAACGCGAAAAGGTAGGCCAAACCCAACTCCAACTCCAATTGCAACTGCAACTCCAACTGGATTTCCTTTGCAGCTGCTGTTCGCGATTCAAGGCATGAAGTCGCCGTCGCGGGTTCGCTTTACGGCTTTCATGGCATTTCTTACGGAAATGTTTTGCCAGCTGAAACGCCGCCAGTTGCAGCTGCGCACCCACAGCGAGGGCACCCCGCCACCCCTGGTGCTGCTCAGCCTGCTGTCCAAGTGCTGCGAGGATTGTGTGCGTCCTCCAGTGCGTTCCCTATCCGAGGTATGTTTCCCTAATGCTATACCCCTCGCTGAGCAACAGTTGTAAGACATTTCCCATTTGCAGATTGAGTGCCTGTTCTATGTTTTGACCTGCATTGGCCAGGATATGGAGCAGCAGCTGCCGCAGCAGCTGGAGCTGCTCATGTCCCTGGTGCGCGATGCGTTCCTCAATGCCGGCGATGCTGCCGCCTCCATACGCCGCACCCTGCTCCAGCTGATCGAGCTGAAGGCCTCCCACTGGCAGCTGCCCGGCAACTCCGTGCTCTACTACACCCATACCAACAATTAGTTCGGGAGGGGTTGGAGAATCGGACGCAATTTGTTGCAATACGTAACCAGACATTATTATTGTGGTCGAATTGCATTTAGGCGCAGTCCTCAGTGCAAAACGCAACTATTTATCGTACTCCGCGCAGTACCATAGTCCATAAGCAATATTTATTTTCGGAACCCTAGATAGATCGACTAACACCCAGGCATAATAATTATACACGCACATTTCTACCAGCCCAATTCGGCGACATTTGTGGAAAGCAGCTCATTTACAATCACGCGTCCCACTCTGGTAGAACTTATGATTCTGCCTATATAAGGCTCAATTTATACTATGTGAATCCATATTATTTATGTGTAATAAATACTACTACTAGTCAAAAAAAAAAGGATGCATAAAAAAGCATTTACACAAGAGGTTTAACATAATAAAGCGAAAGCTCCCTTCACTAGAGGGAATGAAGGAGTGAATGACAGAGAGAGAGAGAGAGAGAGAGAGGGAGAAATGAACAACTTTTGGAATATTATTTCGACTATGCTTTAGGATATATATATTTAGTTGACAAAGCCAAGATTTGAATTTAACTGATGTTTATGTACTTAAAACTAACGAGTTGGCTACTTAAGTTATCGATACCAAGTGAGAGAGCGCCGACGAGTGACAATCGATAGGATTCCTGTAAATTAAATATCGATTAAATGCAACCCTAACGATGGGTTCGCCTTGTCTGCGATGAGAACATCTCGTTCATTTGGTTTTTGTCTTCACCCCATAAAGTTGATACAACTACAAGTAAGTCCATTTAATAAAGTTAAATATAAATACATATATAAAATGTAATTATTTGAATAGTTGGTAATTCGTGTGTAAAAACTAACCATTGAATTTATTGAATTTCACTTGTAACTGAAATAGAAAAGTGAAAATTTTATTTTGAAGTATGCATTACCACGTGTTTCAAAATGGCGGCGGTGCACACGCACCTAAAAAGTAGACCAATTTTGAAGTGCTTAAATGATGATTATTTAACTTACCTTTTGCGGTTTCCACCAGAAAGCGTTAGTTCGCTTAAAGATGGGCTTAGGTGTCTGATTCAAGCACTTCAAATTTGAAAAGTCAATATCGATTATAAGTGCGCGTACCTAACCTAACAAATACTAAAGCTATTTGTTCTTGATTCAATTTCAGAATGGCGGACGCAGCTCCAGCCCGTAGTGGATTCCGAGGTGGATTTGGCTCTCGCGGTGGTCGTGGTGGACGTGGTCGTGGCCGTGGACGCGGCGCACGCGGTCGTGGTGGCAAGGAAGATTCCAAGGAGTGGGTGCCAGTGACCAAGCTGGGTCGTCTGGTGCGAGAGGGCAAGATCAAGTCGCTCGAGGAGATCTACCTCTACTCGTTGCCCATTAAAGAGTTCGAGATCATCGATTTCTTCTTGGGCTCTGCTCTGCGCGATGAGGTCCTCAAGATCATGCCCGTCCAGAAGCAGACGCGTGCCGGTCAGCGCACACGTTTCAAGGCTTTCGTCGCCATTGGCGACAACAATGGCCACATCGGTCTGGGTGTCAAGTGCAGCAAGGAAGTCGCAACCGCTATCCGTGGTGCCATCATCCTGGCTAAACTGTCTGTTGTGCCCGTACGTCGTGGCTACTGGGGCAACAAGATCGGCAAGCCCCACACCGTGCCCTGCAAGGTTACCGGCAAGTGCGGTTCCGTATCGGTGCGTCTAATCCCAGCGCCCCGTGGTACCGGTATTGTCTCAGCTCCCGTACCAAAGAAGCTGCTGACCATGGCTGGCATTGAGGATTGCTACACCTCCGCTCGTGGCTCAACCGGTACCTTGGGTAACTTCGCCAAGGCTACCTATGCTGCTATTGCCAAGACATACGCCTACCTGACTCCGGACTTGTGGAAGGAAATGCCTCTGGGCTCCACACCCTACCAGGCATACTCTGATTTCCTGTCGAAGCCAACGGCTCGTCTGCACGCCGATGCCTAAGATCATCGTGAACCAGATTTTTTGAATAAACAAAACTTCTATATTACATTTTGCGGATTTAATTGCTGTTGAATATTTCTCCAATGGGAAGAGATCTTGAATTGGATTGAGCTTTCAAGATATCTTTAAAAACAAAGATGTAGTTTTTCTTAATGCTTATCTATATTAAAGAAATTACAAATAATAGATGTAAGATAAGATATAACTTGGACTACGCTTTAACACCGTACGCCTCGGGCATACGCTCAATGGCGTATTTATGCGCAGCGACATACATGATAGGAACGCCTGGTATCTTGCGTATGCGGTTCTTCAGGTCCTTGTCATTTGTGGCCACAATGTAGCACTTGTGTTGACGCACTCGCTCGACCAAGCAGTCGTCGGCGTAGGTGCCCTTGTGCAAGCAGGGTAAACGCTCGAAACGGGGATCGGATATGATTCGGAGGGCCAATTTATACTTGTTGCCCAGTTTTTCCAGCTCGGCGCGCACACAGTCCGATATATATGGTATGCACTTGGCGTACAGACAGTCCATCATGCACTGCACTATATCCAGCTTATTTTTAATGCTAAAATTAATGAAATTCGTGTCGAGCACGATATGATAGGGCGGTCCCAGCTGTGTGTTGTACTGGAAAAAGAGTGCCGAGCTCTGCTGTGTCGCTTCATGGACTTTCATATCATGAGGATCGGTTGGCTTTTTTCGTTTTTGACGTGCTTGCTCCTTTATCCGGGAATCGGTGGGCTTCATCAGACGCTTCAATTGTGCATTTCGCTGTTTCTGTATCTTTTTCGTCTTCTTTTGCTTACCCTAAAAGTATATGAATGGAAATATGTTTTATTTTGCACTTTTTTATAAGCGAACGAACATATTTACCATTGTATATTTTGTAATATGTCAACAAAATGTAAACAATTATAAAGTCAAATGTAATGCAGCCGCACGTGTTTATTTTGTGTCGTTCAGCTGTTTACGCAGAGTTGCAAAACCTATCGATATGCAACATTGCACGTATCAATCGATAGTAACCAAATGCATACTTGATGATATCGTAAGTGAAATTCAAGAGTTTTCTTGCTTGTGCCACGTGCTTTCATCTTTCATTTGGATTGAACATTTTGTGCGAGATGGTGAGTTCTGGTTAATGTTTTTATTTAACGCAAAAGTCAAATAAATATGTATGGCCACAAATGATGAAACTGATGACGAGACTGAAGGAACATTTTCTCGATTTTATATTGTATATTTCAACATAATTTCGAACAATATTTGTTCATTTAAAGATGAATCGGCAATCTGATGGCAGAATTTTATTCAAATGCATTTTGAAGTGAGGTTGAGAAAACTAATATGTGTTTAATTTCTTTGTATTGCAGGGTTGAATACGTAATATCAACATAATTTGGGCGCACATTTAAATGGTTGAACAATAAAAGGTAAGAAATATATCTCAAATTTATTCTCTATAGAAGCACGTGATGAACTTATACACAGACCTGTACTGAGTAAAATTCATGTGGAATTCGATGTAAACTGAATCTAAGCCTTCTAAATGAAATGCACCTAAATTTCATTATACTAATGGTTGTTTTAAATGTAATTTTTAGGCATATGCAAGATGTCTAGAAAGATGTAGTCGCCTCTAAAAACAAGATGGCGTATGGCGATTTACCGGTTCGCAAATGCAGATGACAATAATGTTGCAGATATGGTAAATATATACTATAGAAATGCAGTTATTTGTGTGACTATGATGATTTAAACACAGACCTGTTCTGAGATTAATCATGTTGATTTGTATCTAACTGACATATTTACCAAAGTACGCAAGTTATCTATTTTGAAAAATCCCTTTAAAATGTATTTCCAACTCTTTGCAGACTGACTGACCTAAGTGAGGTTATATTGAACACTGCGCATTATTCGGCTTCGTGCGAGGTAAACATTTTATTAATTTCTTTTGGATAAAATCTTAGGTGCTTAAATGATGATTAATTCAATTACCTTTTGCGGTTTCCACCAGAAAGTGTTAATTCACTTAAAGATGGCCTTAGGTGTCTGATTCAAGCACTTAAAATAATTATTTTCTACATGCATGTATTTCTTTTATTTCTAATTAAATTCTTACATTTAATTTGCAGAAAGACGCGCGCCAAAACTTCAGGCTGAGCATCTCGTTTTTTGGACAATAAAAATATTATATATTATACGCCCATAATAGGGGCAATTACCTTAATAAACGTATTAAAAAAAATCTGTCTTTTTTTGTTCAATAAAAATGAGCTGAGCATTATGCAGTAGTTTTTAGGCTTGATTTAACACACATCTGATATGTGCATAGATATGTAGATGAGTTTATGTTTAGAATATGTATGTATTTGTACATTAATGTTGCTTATATTGGTAGATAGCAAATACCATTGCTTTTGCGGTGCCAATTTTAATTTGAAACGAACATTTCAAAAGGAACTCGTTTGTGCGCCTCATCGTTACACCCTGTATGGCGGCGATGCGCACGAGTCGCCCTGTGCCATGAGACTCGCCGGTTTTATTAAACCGCTGCTGTTGCGCGTAAATAAAAGCAGACGCTTACCAGGACAGCATTATGCAACGAGCGTCGAATCTGAAGAATACGTATTTGACACCAAAGAGTATATTGATTTTAAGAAACAATTGCGACAGCAAAATGTTAACAACAAGGATGGACACACGTGCTTGCAACTGGAATGCCGGCTATGCGAGCGAATGCCGGCGACGTCAACAACGCGTGCACATGGACCGCTGGCTTACATAAACAAGAAAACGGGTATGCTTTATGTTAAAGACTTGCAGAAATGTAATGTAAGGTGGAAACAATACACATTAAATGGTGGAACTGTGACGTCATTTGCGCACTGTTTGCATTCAAGAAAAGTATTAACATACTTTTATTTTTAGGCGCCTTTATTTGTCCCAGCTGTGATGTTAAACTAACCCTTGCGAATGCCGCCAGGGCTTACCAGACACCGGCGCTGTCGGGCTATCAGCGCGCGCCAAAAAAGACACCGGAATATGCATCACGTTTCCCCAATTTGGTGAATGTTCCAACGGAGGCCTGCGAAGCGCTCGGTCTGCGAGGCTTGAAGGAGGCCCAGCTGAATGCCATTGGTGCACTGTATGAGCCCGAGCAGCAGCTGCTGCACTTTAAGCTGCGCAACGCGGCCCACCTGGTGGTGGGCGAGAAGGTGCTGCGTCTGAGCGACCGCAGCGAGCAGACATTCCAGGGCAGCTCCAGCTCTGGTCTGCTAATACACGGCACAGGGAACAAGAGCAAGGCGGTGCTGGTGAGCAATCTGCTGGACTTTATAGTGCTGGCCACGCAGAACATCGAAACACGTGCGTAATAGATATTGCATTTTATTGAATTTCTCATTAAATGCGCGACTTTTGCTTTTCAGATTGCATCGTCTGCCTGCCGTATGCATTGCATCTGCTGCCGCAAGAATGCCTGCCTGGCTTAGAGCGCTTCAAGGAGTTGGTCTTCTGGCTGCACTATGATGCCACGCACAGTTGGGATGCGGCACGCGCGTTTGCACAGAAAATGGACGAGAGACGCTGCCTGTTGATACGGCCCACCGATACGGAGCCAGCGCCGCATTTGGCTCTAAAGCGACGGCTCAACGTGCGCCACATATTGGCCAAGGCGACGCCCGTGCGGCACAAATCGATTACCACATTCAATGCCCTGCGCAACGACATTTTGAGTGAGCTACAGAACATCGAGAAGGTGAACGGTGTCAAATGGAAACGGTTTCCGGTGCTCAACAAGCTGCTCAAGGGTCATCGCAAGGGCGAGCTCACCATATTGACGGGGCCCACGGGCAGCGGGAAAACGACCTTTACTAGCGAGTACTCGCTGGATCTGGCCATGCAGGGCGTCAGCACACTTTGGGGCTCCTTTGAGATACGCAACACGCGGCTGGCTGCGACACTGTTGCGTCAATTTGTTGGCTATCCGCTGGATGATAAGCTGCAAGAGTTTGACCACTGGGCCACAGAGTTTGAGCGCCTACCGATGTACTTTATGACCTTTCAAGGTCAGCAGCCGCTCAAGCCAGTGCTGGAGGCCATCGAGCACGCCCAGTACGTGCACGACATTTCCCATGTGATTATAGACAATTTACAGTTCATGATGGGCGTTTCATCGTATCGCGGTGACAAGTTTTGGGAACAGGACTCCATTATAGCAGCATTTCGTGGCTTTGCCACCAAACACAATGTGCACGTCACTTTGGTCATGCATCCTCGCAAGGAACGGCAGGAGGATGAGCTGACAACGAGCTCGGTATTTGGCACCGCAAAGGCCACACAGGAGGCAGACAATGTGCTGATCATACAGGACAAGCGGCTGACCTCGGTGCGTGGCAAGAAGTATCTCCAGATAGCCAAGAATCGTTACAGCGGCGATCTGGGCATAATGCCGATGGAGTTTGATAAGGATGCTCTCAGCTACTCCAGCTCAGTGCAGAGCGCCAAACGACGACGGGAGCGTGAAAAGACATCACCAACTGAGAGTTGACCCCAGTTTCAAATACGTTTAAATTATAGTATTTAATTACAATTATTCTATAGATGCTAAGCTTAAACGTTGAACTATTTGTTAATGCATATTATTTACTTAAAATTAATTTGTAAAGCACAAACCGTTATGTTGCGCTCTGCTTATAGTTCTTTGTATTCAGTATCTTCTTGCCGCACATTGCGCAGATCGCCTTTTTATAGGAACACGCCTGACAATAGTGCGCCCCCATCTGATGCACCTTCTGTCTGCATATGCTGCCAACGAGAAATTATGTACTGATGAAGCTGTCAGAATGGTTGTGGACTTACCGGCAAGGTGCAAAGCTATTGCCCATGGGATTGTAACGCTCCTTGGAGGAGGAGAGCGCTTTGTTCTCATTGATTTTGCGTCCTCCGGCAGTCGCATTGTTAGTTCGCCAAGGATTAGGCGCCGAGACCTTCGTCAATTTGGACTCACACTTATCGCAAACCATTTAAAAGTGTGTAATAATTTGTATTAAAAATTCTTCTAAAGTGTTGCAGCAGATATTAATTTTCCTTAATGTTTTGTTTGTGTGATTAGGAATAATCGTTCACAATGGAATGTTATCGATGATTGAGTACCGTGAATAATTCACGTTCAAGTGCTATCGATAATCTATGTTGGCAACTAAATGTACTCATATGAAATAAACAAAATATGACTATGGAAAATAATCAACAATTGCGGTAAATTCATCTTTTTTATGTGAGACAATAAATTTGTATTGTATTTATTGGCCATTTAAGGGAACAGCTTATTGCGGCAGTGGTTAAGAAGCGAGCGGCAGTCGCCAGAGCTCATCAAGTAGTTGTCACACTCCTGGAGCCACACATTGAGGAGCAGGCGTTCCTCGATTTGGTAAATAAGTATATTGATTAATAAAGCTGTATGTATGTGTATATAATTTGGTTAACAACAGCTAACTGAAATCGGTCCGGATAACTACGCAGATATTGTGGAAGAACGACACATTAACAAGCTGTGTGGTTATCCACTCTGTGATGTGCTTGTGGAAAAGTAAGGACAATCGACGTGCATCTGTTCGTATACTAATATCTTATATTATAGGGTGCCTGTGAAACAGTATCAAATCTGCGTTACCAGGAATAAGGTGTACGATATCACTGAACGCAAAAAGTTCTGCTCCGGCTACTGCTTCAAGGCATCCGAATATATCAAATCTCAGGTGCCCACCTCGCCATTGTGGCTGCGCGACAAGGAGCCGAAACCCAATTTTAGGCTGATGCCGCGCGAAAAAGAAATTAGTAAATAAACTGTGTAAACTGTGATAATATGTCCAATGCTATTTGTAAACGTATTTGATAAAAATCTAAGGGATACAAGATATATTTTTATTCATTACCATTCATTTCCATAATTTGGGGGGTTGCAAGCATTAATAATAATATTGGTATGTATCATAAATAGCGCATTGGGCCGCAAGCTGAGTGCATATAAATTAAATCATAATGATATTGTCGCGCTCTAAAGTTAAATCAGCTTCGCGTTTCGCATCCTCCTCGGACCATTCACCACACTTGTCCAGCACGTCCGTTTCGCGTGGCGGTTCCGTCTGGTCAATTCAAAAAAAAAAAAAAACAATATAAATATTTGCATATACACATTAATAAAGGCAGTTTATTATCGCTTGCTTTGTTGACTGCACGAATTATGGTACCTCTTTGTCGCCGGCAGCCAGTTTGGTGAACATATTCGCATATAACTTCTTCTCCTTGTCCTTGTTTTGCTTTATCTTTTGCTTGCAAATAACAACATGATTGGCCGCAGCCTTGTTGCCAGGCTCCAGTTGTATAACCTGCAATCGTTTACGGCCAGTTAAATCGTTTCTTAATCAAAAATCTACTTTACTCACTTTCTGAAAATCTTCCAAGGCGTCCTCCAGCTCATTAATAATCAGATTGCATTGTCCGCGGCGATACAGTGCCTTGACATTGTTGGCATCCAATTCTAGCACAGCATTACACTGTTTAAGCGAAAATATCATTAATATAGATCACACATAGAATAATATTGGGTTAGGAGTGCTGCTGCACCCACCTCTTGTTTAGCCTCGAAGTGATCGTTGGATTTTTGATGACATAGAGCGATGTTGCTGTGTGTGGCCACTTTCAGGGCCTTAACCTCGTCGCTGGTATTGTCCTTGATGCTGGGTAAGAGGTTCTTGCACTTATTGTACATTTTAATGGCCAACTCGAAGTTATCCTTTTTAAAATAGTTTGTGCCCTTCTCCTTATAGACTTTTGCCTCAGCCACGCGCTCGCTGTCGCTCAACTTCCATTCCTCCAGGCCCTTGCCGCAGTCTATTAATTTCACAGTGTACTCAATAGTTGAGTGTGGCGGTATCTTAAAGGCTTCGTTGCCTTTTGCCCCAAATGCGTATTTTGATTGTATTTTGATTCTGTTAGCAATTCGGAAATAGATGTGTGTTAGCAATGCAATTGCACCTCTTTGTTATCATTTACTATGCTTATAGGCAGACTTTTTGCATAGATTCGTAAATCAACAAGGTTTACTTTTAATCTGCAATCAGTTCTTTGAATTGCCTCTAAACATAGTAATGAGTTCAAGTGTATATACTTGGATGTTTCGCCAATATTCATTTTCTCCAGTGCCAGCTCGAGTCCTTCAACTATGCCAATGGCACTGCCCTCGCCATAATCGAATTCTACATCGCGTTCTTCGAACACGCGGCCATCGAAGCTTCCAGAAATGTGAGCTGAAAATGTTTTAAGCAAATGCGTTTTAACCACTACTTAGACCGCAAAACTTTGATAATGGTGACCAACCCTTGACAAATGCGCCGTCGCTTGGTGTCCGCTTTTTATCGCTTGGTTCCAGAATGGTGCGCTCGATGCTGCCATCTTGATTTGGACTGAGATCCTCGCCTTTCCAGCCCAGCATTTCCAGCTGAAATGGACAGGTTATATGATAGGTGTGGGACACAAGTATATGGGTGTATGCTTACCTCAAATATAAGAGTCGAGTCTGGCGGTATGCTTGGCGGGCTGCCAGCAGCGCCGTAAGCGTAGTTTGGAGCACATGTCAAGAAACAGCGCTCGCCCAGCTTCATTGTGGCGACACCCATGTCGAAGGCTTTGATGACGCGTCCTTTGGATACGCATTTAAATCAATTATTTGTGCGCGAAAAGTATTCTCCAAACGCTCATACCTTTGCCCAATTCAAATTCGAATGGCTCATTGCGACCCACGCTGGAATCGAATTCCGTGCCGTCAACAAGTCTGCCGGTATAGTGAAGCGATACCTTGCAGCCGCTATTTGGCGTCTCGTTGCCAGTTCCCTCCTTCAGTATTTCCTTGAGCACGCCTCCATCGCCAGATAAGTCGAGTTTCTTTGTTTCTTCCGACATTTTCCTTCAGTTATATTTATGACTCTCCGAACGACACTAACCTGACCTGTGCATGCGAATTTGTCGTAAAAAGCATCGAAAATTTGATCTATCGATACCAAAGCTATTCACTTTCGCGATTAATCGATTTTATTGGGCTGCCAGTTCTGCCGACTCATCCTTTCATATACATATACAAATAATTTGAATTATTTAGTTCCTGCTCAATACTGTAAGAATTGTTCAGCACTGATTTCAAGCTGATTCCGTTGAAGCTGAATGAACAACATAAGGTGCGTTTACATTTAATTATTTTTTAAAAAGCTGGTTTATCAATTTGTTCAGAATTAATGCATAAGATTTCCTAAAACATGTATCTTTATGTTGGTATACCCTGCCAACCTCTTGGTTCACCCATATTATAAATTAAAATTAAAAAACAAATGAATGTAGACAGTAAATAATTAAATTATTTGCAATTCTGCACTTACATGTATTAGTTTTTATGCTTAAAAACATAAGAAAAATGCATTTCAAGGTGAGCTATTCCTTTTCCGATACCAAGTACCAAAAATCGACGCCACTAATTTGACGCACATCGCTAATTTGCTTGTCATACTTGCGCTGTCTATCGGTAGTGCACTGCCCCCTATCGATAAGAAATATATCGGGGGCCTATTGCAACAGTCACATATGTTTTTTTAAAAGGCTGTCCTCTAAGACGGGAGCAGTTATAAAACTATGATTGTAGCCTGAATTTCTATCAATAGCTGTCAATCTCAACTAGCTTGCAGCCATGGACGCCAAGTGCTACAAACTACTTTTAATCGGCGGCGCCGTGCGCTTGTATTTCAGTAGCACTTCATTGGCGTCGCTTATCGGCCATCGCGTGGAATTTGCCACTCCTTTAAACTCGTTCAAGCGCAGTAAGTATTTAGTTAAACCCAAATATTTTCAGGGATTCTCATGCTTGTTATATTTAATTTGCAGTTCAAGAGGGAGTATTTCTGCTCCAACAAGGCGTCGATCCATATCAAGGAGATCTTGTGCACGAGACACCGTTGCTTCTTAAAGCAATATCCGGCATTTTAATACATTATGCGGAATGGCTTCCACTTCTCTATATATTGCTCGACTTATGTACGGCCGCATTGCTGTATTCGATGAGCCGTACTTTTGTTGGGCAAAAACTGCAACAGCAACGTCAGGAGCGCAAGGACTACGCCAAGGATACAGAGGAGCTGCAGTACAGTGCGAATGACAAATACATCATATCGGAGCTGGTCTTGGTAGCCTATTTATTCAATCCATTGACAATACTGAGCTGTGTGGCACTGACCTCCACTGTGCTGAGTAATTTGTTACTGGCAATGTTTCTATGTGCCATGATCAGGCGCCAGCTCTTCGTAAGCGTCGCTCTGCTCGCATTTGAGACCGTCCGCAGCCTTTATCCGGTTGTGCTTATTGCGCCGCTGCTTTTACTCTTTGCCCGTCGGTCTGTCTGCCTGGGCATCGGTATATGCTTGCTTTTTGCAACTTGCTGTTTGGCTGTGGCCGGCGCAAACTACTTTGTTATGAATAGCTGGAATTTTTTAGATGGAACACTCGGTTTTATGTATGTGACTGCAGTTTTGAAGTTGATTTGATTGATGCATATTTTAATTGTTAATTTCAGCTTCTACTTTCGCGATCTGCAGCCCAATATTGGACTGTTTTGGTACTTTTTCACCGAAATGTTTGAACACTTTCGCACCATGTTTCTTATAACATTTCAGCTAAATGCCACCGTTTTGTACCTTGTGCCTCTGTCCATAAAACTGCGCAAGGAACCGCTTCTGCTGGCCACCGTCCTCGTTTCGCTAACGGCAGTTTTTCGAGCATATCCTAGCCTAGGTGATGTCGGTTTCTATTTGGCCTTATTGCCACTCTGGCGCCGCTGCTGGAAGTGTAAGTAGCTGTCTAATCGAACACTCCCAAAGAAGTTCAACCTATGTCAAGTTAATAATGTAAATTTGTTGTCTTTTAGTCATGGCGCATGGTTTTGTTGTGTTTACTTTCTTCCTCATAACGTTGTCCATGATGGGCGCTTTGTGGCATTTGTGGATCTATGCCGGTTCGGCAAACGCGAACTTTTACTTTGGTGCTACGCTCGCTTTCTGCACGGGTCAAATATTTTTAATAACAGATTTGCTTTTTGCGCACGTGAAGCGGGAGTTCTGTCTTTATAATGGCCAAAAGATCATGATTGATGGGGAAGAGGCGCGAATACTGCTAGAATAAGCTGAATATGGATACTCAAATAAAAAGAACGACTTTATTCAACATATACGAGCAATCATTATAATTAATTTGTAAGATTATTGCGTAGAGTATCCGGTTTTTGTCTTTCGATTAAGGAACCTGTATAAATACAAAATGCGCTTCTGCAAATCTTTCCACTTGGTAGGCCGGGCGATCGGGTACTTGGTCTTCTCCAGCATTCGACGCTTACGCAACAGTACCTGGTATTCATTGCCCGAGACGCCGCGCAACCAGGAAGGCACCGAGTATAGCACACGTGTGGGATGAAGCCGGTCGTTGCCCAATATGTCTATAAAGTCATTTTGGCCGAAGAGCGCCCGCTTTTCAGACCACGGATTTTTTGGCCTATACACTGGTAAGGGTAGCTTCTGTCCATTATCCAAATGCGGCAGTAGACCACTCTGGAACAGCTTCTCCTTGTAGCCATAGCGACGCACCGTGCGGCCGCGCGCCCGTTTCTCGGCGTGCGAAAGCTGACGCACTGATGTTTGGTAACAGGTCAGTGGCAAAGGCTTCGATCTGCTAGCCAGATGTGCTGCGTTACACAGTTTTTGAAACGCGCTGCTCAGCCAAGACATCAGTTTCTGTGTGTAATTTACGATTAGGTAATTATAAATAGTCAACTGCTAAG